AAGCTCTGGACATGAAAAGGGCATCAAATAATTTAAGTCCCTTTCTTTGCGCATTTGACGACGATTTTTTGCACTCCATCAAATGAATGCCACGGGAGCTTTTCACCCTTCCTTCCGCCCTTTTTCGCATCCTCGACTGCTTCCTGGACTCCCGTCCTTGCTCTCGTCGTTCGCTGAAGTGTAATTGAAAGCGCAACGTGGAAAGCTGCAGTTGTTGGCATGGCCAATTTCAACTGTGGACAGATTTATCTATTCATGCGGGCTCTTCCTGAACCAGCGAACGCAACAATGTGCCCAAAACACACGGTTTTAGAAATAGACTCAATTTGCACATTCAATTGAATTAGAACTTTGAGCGCAGTTTCTCCCCACTTTTCACGGTCAGATCCCGACGTGAGTGTAGAAAATGCAATTGGTGTTGGCGATGCGGTCGCACGAAGTGTGCATACAAAATGAGGATAAAAAAAGTCAGTGTGTGGTGACTTTACATACCTTAAAATTTATATAAACATTAATTTGTAAAATTAAATAACGATTAAACGAATTTTCTCATGAAAGAAATTTTTTTTTCAAATATACATATTTAGAAACGGTTTCGCGATGTCATTTGAAATCGGTTTTCTAATTTTGTAATTAAAACTTTACATCTGAAATACTTGTATGTGAAGAGAATAACAGTTTTACCAAGTATAAAACAATGTAAAATATTCATCCAAGCGAAGAAAAAAATTTAACTTATTTTAATTATACAATCAACATCATCTCAAATAATTTTGCATGCTGATTAGTTTCAGCTGGAAATGGGAATGAGAATGTCTTCACATTCCAATGTTGGCACTTCAGATTGTGATCTATCTGCTGAAAAATCGATGTAGCCAATTTCTCAAAGAATGAAAATAGCATTTCTACGAAAGCTCCTTCTCAAATAGCAACAAATTGACAGGCATTTAGCCAAATTGGATATTTCACATCCATCTAGATGCATCAACAACGATAATGTCAGAAAGGAAGTTTAAAGTAATAAGAGAAATTTTGGAACGGTGTGGATGCAATATTCGCGATAAGTCACTAAAAATTGCGATCAAAATTGCGCGAACGATAGCTAAATAAATTCAGAGTTGTAGAGATGAATTCAATTTAACCACAACGCAAATTTGTGGCACAGATATGCCATTAAAGGATTATTAAAATATGCAAATTCATAACGCGAATGCAAACTTTTCGACCGCAAATCATTAAAAAGCGAGCCTTTTCAATACAATTTTGAAATGCACACTTGTCTGTGCATAAATTACGTGTCGTGGAATTTAGAGTATATGCAAAAACTTCCCGCTCTATTTCAATGTATTAAAGGTGCTTAAATTAAATTTTTCCTAGACTGTTTAATCCACGCTTGGGTGAATTTTCAAAAATCGATTAAAGCATTGAGACTAGAGGTTTTTTTGATGCTAAGCTCTCGCCTTAAGATAATTCAATTCGCCAACAAAACATTCTTCGCTGGAAATGGTAACATGAAACTTTTCTCCACCCACCGTGGAAAACTTTCCCACCCTTTCGGAAGAGAGTGAATATAAATTTCTCCCTGCTTTGCATGCAGTTTTCTGTTCTCCGCGGGAAAAATGGCAAAAACGGCGGGAAAAGCAGAGCAAAAAGACGCGGGAAAGTGAAGGAAAAAAGGTCAGTCTGATGGCGAGCTGTTGCAATATTTATAGCATTTTCCATCGTGAAAAGTGATTCGATGGAAGGAGCTCTTCTGCAGAAGGACGCGCACGCTGGAATGTGATTTATAACATTTCCATGGCCTTTTCCCACATGAAGCAAATGGACAACCTCAATATAATTGATCCGTAACCAATTTTTTCGGCACTAATTTTCCTCACACCGCAACAAGACTTCTTTAGAGTTGAAATTTACTAGGAGGCGCACGAAACACGCTGATTTTCCTGCGGTATGTGAAACTTTAATGACTTTGTTCGGGACTTCATCACTGTCGATGTTCCAAGGAAGCCAAGTCTGTCTACAAAGAAACTCATAAATCGCTGAAAGCGATTTAAATGGGGTTCAGAGGAAAGAACTTCGGGATAGTGTAAGAAGAAGAGTTGTCAACAAAAATACACGATATGAGCGTAGGTAAACTTCAGATTATTCTTTATATACCTACACATAATCGTGCACCGCGTGTTATTAATTAAATATATTCGGGAATAACCAAGGGAATAGCTTTTATTATGCGATTAGTTGATTAGTCTGCCATCTTATTTCGCTCTTGCGAGAATGCTAATTCGAAAGTTTTTGTCTTACTCTTGGCACAAAAGAAATTTCTTAAAAACATTCCTTGCAAATTCAATATCTTGGATTTTTTTTTCTTGACAACGCAAAGTTTTGCTAATTCATCTGGTGTTCTCATTGCAGAAACCCGAGGAGCGTCGCAGCCTTTCTCGTCCAGATAGTGACAATGTCAGCCGTTAACATGAAGACGGTGATTCCTCTGGTTGATATCAACTTCGCTCAGCGACAGGTGAGCTTTTGAGTGGGCGGTGCCGAAAGGGTGATTCTCACTCTCCGAATTAACATCCAACTCTTCACGTATGCATGAATTATGAATAATTAGGCACCTGATGTCACACTCTAATCTCATTTCCCACGAGCAATCGCCAACTATTTTCTCGTCACCGCCTTTCTGTCAAAGCTTAAATTGGCGATATTGATCTGTGAGCTTTAGTTTCAAGTGAAAAATTATCATTCCATGCCCATTTACGCTATTTCAACTCATTGATTTACAATTAATTGCTCATTATTGCCACCCGCGTTGTTTTATCGTGAAGATGCGCCATAATTAAATCGTTCAACCTTTCCTGCGCGCACAATTAACATTTTGAGAGTGTCATAAAGTTTTCATACTGACTTTCCGTAGATTCTGCAAGTTTTCTCACGCATGACATTCCCTTTATTTTATGGAGAATATTTTAATATTGCAGTTTTCCACACAGATTGCTCGCGCGACAGGGAAATTTGAATTTTAACAACCCCAAAAGAGTATTTCAAGATTTACATGAAGCTCAAAAAAGTGCATCGTAAAAACACTTTATTTGATAGTTTGGCAGTTTATACGGCACAGTGGGGAAAGGTGCAGGTGTCTCGTATAAAAAGGCAGTGATATCAATCGTTACCTTTTTATGTTTCCTTTTCATAAAAACTCTATCTAACTGCGTTTGCACGAAGGGAAAATGGTATTTCCTTTTGTCTACACGCCAAATTTAAATTAATAAACATTGCTAATTAATTAATAGAAATTATTTCGCGTTATTCTGGAAAGTATGATTTAAATATTCTCTTGACTATGAAAAACAACCCTATAGAAATGCTCTGATAAAGCCGCTTAATTTATTCACAATAAATGTTAGGTACTGTATTGAATTGCTCTGTATTCCATTGAAACGGGTTCGATGTGAAATGTAAATAGCAAATCGTCACATTCACTAATTGGTGTGAAGCGAAAACAGTGGAAATTGGTATTAATTTATAAAAAACGCGATGTAATTATTGTTCGATCTCATGGATTTATTCGTCCATCGCGTGTTTACAGTCACTTTGATGTGATGGCGCTGCAGTGGCGTCCGTTATTTTGCCGCGAGCAGCTGTCGCGCCTTCGCTTCAGTTCCACGCTGTCTGTCACAGACTGTATGCGTCGTTCTGTATCCTCTCACCCATTTTCCTGTTCTTTTATTCACAAATCCTGGTAAAATCATCTTCACCGTGTTTCATCTTTCCCACTGTATCATCCTTTGGTCGCAGAATGGCGAATTTTTGGCAGAATTTCCAGATAAATAGGCAATTGAATGAGGAATGGCCGCGACTGAATACGGAAATTTGGGTATGTCCTTTCCATCTCATTTTTTCAACACCTTTCCTGTATTTTCCTATTTTAAGAAAGCGTGAGAAGATGCTATAGAACAAGTAGATGATACGTTTGTTGCGAAAAAGCACGTCTCTGGCGGAGAATTTTACCAACTCTTCAATTTCCCGTCTGTGCTCAAATTGAGTGGAAAAGGCGGAAAATTACCATCCAGAAGGTGCGTAACGGAGCTCCTCCTATTCTCCACCACCTCTCCAAATACCCCAAACAACGTTTTGGGTCATGGAGGCAAAAGTTTACACGAGAAGATTAAATGTTGAGGCATAAAATTCACCTCACAGGCACGAGGAGCACGAGAGTCTCACATTTCGTGTGAATTTCAATAATTTTCCACTCAATTTTTACGCAACAACTTTCTCAGAGCCTTTGAGATAATCAAACGATTACATTAACTGTGCTTCCCGGGAGAAATCGTGCGATGGGGCGGCGATAATATCATCCTATTTTGGGGTTTATTCATGAATCAAAGTTTGGCGCGTGAGGACGCATCAATTGTCGCACTTTAACGAGGGAAATCTCTTAGGAAATGGACTTCAGGGGAGAAAGTGGACGTGGGGAAGGGGGATTATTAGCTTTGGGTTGATTTTGATAAGGAAACTTGTTGACTTGAATGGAAAATTAGAAGTGAAGATTGTAAATTTGGCGGGTGCTCAGAAAGTGAGGTTAGAACGTTTTACTGTTTTCTTTCCTCTCTCTGGCCGTTAAATTTGTTGGTTTGTGTCTCTACTGAGCGAAAATTCTCTCGCTTTCTTGCTCCTCATTTTCCTGGCTTTTTGGGGGTGTATTTTCCCCGTCAAGCCGAGATTTTCCACATCCCTCACCAAACATCGTGGCGTCGTGCTTTTGGAGTGCTCCGGAATTTCCCAATGGAATCCACGTGTAAACAGAGCATCCCTGAGTGAGAGCTCCCCAATTGGTTGAGAGTGAGTGCGAGCGAGACAAGCAGAGCTTGCCTGTGCATCTGAAGAATCATCGACGATGCGATGATCATTGATTGTTCGTGCTCGTCATGCGCAATTGGGCAGTGTAGTGTCGTCTCTTTTGCTCGAATGGACGCCCTGCGGAATTGACAGTAGGACTTCTCGTGCTATCTCGCTCGTGGTGTTGAGGAGCCATCGAGGTGACAGCCATTTTCATTTCGTCGCTCAGTTGAAGTTTGTCTGCAGTGCTGTGAAAATCTTGTGCTGTGATTTGTGAGGGAATTTCCCAGTGCAGTGGAAAAGCAAGGAGTTCAAGCGCACCAAGCGGAGATTGTGTGGCGTACAAATTCGGTAATCCGGGCGTGCTGACGAGAGGCGCCCCGCAGCCAAGTAGTTCTTGTTAGCAGAGGAGTCTAGGCGGCAGAGGGCGCGCGCGCCTGGAGACTCTCCCGGACCCGGATGCACCGGATGCACCTTGGCGGAGGCGCAGAGGCATCATCTGGGGCGTGCCAGCTGTGAATTCGGAGCTTTCCGGACCACCATACACACAAACTTCACCCCCGGCGCGCCAGAGACAGGCATCAAGCTGTGGGGCTCAGGAGCGTTCTTCCTCCCTCCGCAAGGAATGTACTACCCGGTAAGCACGCAGGCCGAAATCTGTGCGCCAGATGTTGCCACTCGCGGCCTCTCGGGCGCATCTCTTTGTCTCGGCATCGCGCTGCAGATGCTCCACGACGTCCCAAAATACCCCAGCCTGGCCGGGAGTGGCGGAGACACGGGGCTGGGGCCTCCAGGCTCACGAGACGCGCTTTGTCTCGCTTGGGTGCGCGACGAGGGCCGGGAGAGGTCGGGTTTGGCAGGCTGGAAGGTTATTTATTTACTGTTCTCCGCCACAGACAGGCGGCATCAGAATGTTTGATGCACTCCTTGGTTTTTTTTTTAATTACTAACAAGAGAGATGTTCTTGCTGAGTTAATCTTCGCGTTCACTTGAGGATCTGTCGTGTCGTAAACAGTTTTTCATGTAAATTGATTCTTCGGAATATCAGTATGATAAAATAGAATTTAACTTTTTCCTGTTTCATTCGAATCCCATAAGAGAAAAAACGCATACAACAGCTGAAGGACTCTTGAGAAAGTTGACTCTTCATTGACTCTTGAGCATATTTCCGCTGTAGGCACAGTTATATGCAAAATAAGTGAATCGACCAATATAAACTGTGGTTAGAAAAAGTGATGCAACGCCGAAAAAACTGGTCCAGTTGATTGACAATGCAGAGTGAAATTTATAATAAATCGAATCATTCCACGAAGCAGAATAAATTCGGGAACTGCGATGGGGTTGAAGTGAAAATTTCAAACTTCGTCCACTCCCAGGGGAGATGACAGATAAAGCGATGGGAAGGATAAAAGGGGAGCCTGTAAAATGTGTGGGTTCAATTCCCCTCAGTATCATATTTCAATGATCTCTCCACTTCTGCTCCCCGCGGAATTTCCCATTGATTTTCTCTCGACAGGCTTGGAGAAAAGGTCTGAAATGATGGTAGAGGTGAAAAAGAAACGATGCTTGAGGGAAAATGGAATAACAAAACTGATCAGCAGATGATGATGGTGATGAAGAGTGAGGGAAATATCTTGCCATTTATAGATGATCACGAAGCGTGGCAGAAGCCACAGTTAAAAATAAAAGACCCTCCGGTACAGCAAAAGAGATTACCGCTTAATTTGTTTTCAAGAAGACTTCCGCTCTTCGACTTCTTAATTATAGCGCACACACGCGTTCTTACCAACACCGTTGACGGAATCACATGTTGTGAGGAAAAGGGACTGTTAATCAGTGCTGTGGGAAACCTATTGCACAACTGGCCATTGATTGAAGCCCATTCTCACGAAATGTTTCGCAATAATAGTGAAGAGCGCTCACGAATTGAGCATTAAATTTTGATAAAGATGAACTTCGCGATGTTCACACCTCAAATCTCTTGTGCAGGTGTGCGAAGCGGGTTCGAGAAAGTCTGTGTAAATGTGAATTTACGGTATTAGACGGAGAATCTTTTTCTCAAATAGAGAGATGTTTTTAAATTTTCCATAAAGAGGATTCTGCTTATGGGAAATGCTCTTCATAATTTCCACTCAAGCGTTAATTGCAATTTGTGAAGAACATTTCGACCTGCTTTTGCGCTGTTAGTCGTGTGTTTCAATCTCAAAGGGATGATGTTTAGTGCGGTGAAAAGCTTTCGCTAGAGGTAGAATTTAATACTTCTGCTGAGTTTCCTTTGAAATACAATACAATCTTTGTTGCCAATGGTAAGGTTTAAGTGAGGCTTTGTGATTGTTTAGAATTTTGAAGTCTGTCAGTTTCAAAGGATAAATTGAGGATAAAAGATCAACAAACCAATTTTAGCTAAGAATTTTATAGAAATAGGTCGAGATGTTTGAATTGCATTGTAATATTGAGATGCAATGAAAATATGATTGGAATATCTGTCATAGTGGCAATGGAATTTGATTTAGAAGACCAGCATGACTGTAAATCAATGACTACTTTGAGCTATGGTTTGTTAGATAAGCAATTAAGGTTTGTAATTAGATATTTGTGAATTTTATGAAAGAGTTGGAAAGTTATCTAGACGATCATATTTTTCCCCATGAGAGGAACTATTAAAAACATGAGTTTCAGCTAAACAAACATTAAAATTCTCACAGTTGCAATTAATTTTTAGAGGGAAATCAAATATTTGCGCAATTTTACATGCTTTCCTGTTAAATTTGACTTTTATTTTGCTTGGTATTTTACATGCTGAGCAACACTTTAAAATCTGGGTGATAAATTTGTGTTCGGTTGTATCTTTTTGGTCACTATTTTTCAATCAAAATGAACACTTGTGAAGAGGCATAAAATTGTTGAACTTTCCTTCAATAAATACGACTATGCGTTATACCAGCTTCAGCAGCATTCCAACGACTTTTTAATGTAAATATGTGTGCTCTCCCCTCCAATACAGCAACATTACGAGTCAGTTTATGCTGCAAGTTTGTTTCTGGACAGATTAAAATACACATCTATGACATAAACGATCACATTTGAATGTGATAATATTTAGTGAAATCATGTGTGAATCGAGAGTGATTTTTTGAATTCCAGTGGTTGGCAAACATGATTTTTCTGGGTTGGGTTCGGTCGCAAAAAGTATTTTCTATACTATAAATAGCACAAAGCTCTTTTGGCGTGCGTGCGTGTGTGTGAGTGTGTATGTGTGTGTGTGCGGGGTGTTTAAAATTTAGTCCAAAGCGGAAGAAGTGTATTATATCAATTTGATCGATTCTGAGATGCTGCAGAAGCTCTTGCTGAGATGATGGAGTTGTATATTGAAGAAGTGGAGCAAGCTTGTTGAGAAATATTTCAAGAGTCTCGAACTACTGGCAAAATCCACTCAATAAGTACTCGTCTTCCTTAAATCGCCCCGGAGTTTCTGACAATGAAGAGAGGATGGAGGAATATCCATGTGTAGGGAGTTTATGAAGTGAAGAGAGGATTCAAGGCGGAAGTTATAAATCAATTCACTCATGAGCCAGAAATCGTGACATTTTTTTTGTAGCTGCTCGTCCCAAATCGATAGTTGACAACAATCAAGAGAAGAATTACGCTTGGCTGGAACAAATTTGGCTGGAGTACACATAAGACTATCGTTTTTTTCTGCCTCCGCGCTGGTGTAGATTGTTAAATAAAGAGAGAAACATTAATTGCAGTGTAAATATTTAAGAAATAAACTCATCAACTTGAGACATTCAATACTGGCGCGATCTGTTTTTGCTCTCTTCTTTAAACTCCCATGTTATTTACACTTATCACCTTACAAGCATTGCCATTTATCAAGTAAATCCCGTCCCGCTGCCCTCCGCACAGCCTCTCGTCCATCAATCACTTTCATTTATTGCTCAGTGGTTCAGAGAAAAATACAAAGTTTATCAAGAATTGATATGCGGCGAGGCTCTTTTTTCAGCCAAATCACAGCTGAAATCCCAGCTGAATGGCAGTAATTCTCAATGTATTTACAATGAATTGCGAGCAAAAATGGGGCACACGATAGCGTACTCATTTCCACGCCAGAATTCATCCCAGAAGCTCCCCATTTTGGGTGGAGTGTTAATTGAAAGACAAGCCACTACTTATCGCACACAAAGGGTGCTATCTTGATCGATTAATCGAGACCAACGTGTATTGTTGCTGGTATATTGCAATTTATGCTGTGGCCGATGGAAGGCAATTTAAGGAAGGACATCTCATCAATCGGCTTAATGGCCATTCAATGGGTGAAACATTCGATGCATGTGATTTTGGGTCAAAGAACATGTTGAACATGACACTCGTTCTGATTGAGTGTGATTTGAGACATGCACAATAGGCAAAAGTGTGTATGTGTGTGTGTGTGTGTGATATTGAAACCCTTTTCGATGAGGGTGTATCATGAAATCATCCTCAATTAATATTCTATAGGCAGGTAGAAATTATAATGTGGATCTTGCAATATATCTTTGCCTGACAAAACATCCTCAATGGGTAGGAATCTATGAGAAGTTCACGATCTTACTTATCGCTTTCTTGGCTTCATCAGTGTATCTGAGCTGGGAAGATGGAGAGAAAAGCTGGGAGAAAATTAAGATCAAAATTTGCATGTAGAACATAAATAATGACTTTGATCCTCTCGATTGAGTGGAATTTCAGTATAAATGACACCCAACTTCTGCTTTATAACCCCTTTCTGTTGTACTGTATATCGAAAGCTATCGGATATCCGATGATCCGTGGTAACAAATGGAAAACTCTGGCAAAATATCCCATTTTCACCTGGGCAAAGCATCACCTTTGTTGGCCATTTTTGCCTCTCGGCGATGATTGACTATTGATCTGATGGTGTTTGTGTGCAAAATTGCATTTATTATGTGGGTGAGAGATTTGGGGTGGGTTAATGGGACTCGTCGCTTTTCCTCATCCTTTGCAAATAAACTCATACATACATACGTATGACAAATGGATGTTTTCAATTACGAGAAAAACTCATTCTCAATTGAAAACATTCATTTCCTGTTGTATATTTGTTGCGATGTCCTTCGCTTTTTGGGGAGCCTTTAATTGTTGATGATGACATTCTCTGGAGGGAATATGAATATTAAAATGATATTGTGTCGAATAATCGTGAAGATGTTGAGAAAGTCTCACTTTGAGGCGGTGAATATTGATGGAGCGAAATATTTGTGAGGAGCGTTGATGTCTCGACATGGAAGTCATACAAATTCAATTGATAGATTGTGTCTCATTGTTCGGGAGAATGAATGTGTGTGTGTGCGTGGAGATGAGGAGGAGATTGTCTCGAGGGATTAATTCTGAGAGCGCTTAAATTCCAGACACGTTTCCCTTGGACGCGAGTGTGTGTGTGTGATTTTTTCCAGTCGCGTCTTTTTTCGGACACTACCAGCCAGTGGGGAATTTATTTCATAGAGAGCGATGAATTCAATTCATTAATTGGTGATTCAATTGTCGCATTTTGCTTCAATAAGCGCTTTCCGCTTCGCATCCACCATTGACACTCTTGAAGTTTTATACTTTATGCCCAACATCCGCACTCCTCATTGAGCGTGCACTTCTCCAGCAGAGTCCCGGGATTTCAATCGTCTATCGCACTGGAATTCATAATCTTGGTCAGTGGCTATGAGCCGTAGCATAAAAGACCACAAATGCAGTGATGGAAGATCTTCACAATTACAGTGTTGCGTCATTAATTGGCAAAATTTATTTTTAATTGATTTAACTGTCTTCCTAGATGAAACTGAGTGTGTTCTAAAATACATTGCAGCACCATAGAAAATGCTCTGTTCATTCCCATTTTCTCTCGGTTAGAAAATGAATGTCTGGAGTAGCAAATAAAATAATATATTTTGAAGTCTGTTTGAAATACACTCTAGATAAAATGCTTTTATTTGTCTCATAAATCCACTGAAGGCAAAAACAGCGCATCTTCTTCGTCACTCATGATTAATTCTTGCCAAAGTGCAATTTGAAAAGTATGTACTATGAATGTCTAAACATCACGAAATTTGAATGAGTGACATCATAAACATTAGACCGCAATTTATTGGTGATTTATGATCTGAAAACATTACTTGCTTCACAATTGTTAGCCTCACGATTGCAAATCTTGTACATGTAATTCCTTAATGGTTCTTCATCCAAGGCATTGCGTCTATTTTCTTCCTGATTTGCTTTCAATCTGTGCGCCATAATCCTTGCAAAGTGGTGGGAGTGGAAAATTGACAAGAAAATACGTGTGATTGAAGGCAATTCTCACAGTGTTGCCTGGCAAATCTAAATTGCTTTCGACACGAACAATAGAAGTTTAATTAGAGAACGGGGCGCACAGATGTAAGGAATACAGTGATCCTCTAAGTTTACCCAAAAATACTCTCTTCAATCCGCACATGTAATGGTGAGACATTGAAAAATTATTTCATGTCTCGCTGCACATGATAGAGTGCATTTTGAAACAATTCGAGTACTCACATTTCTCTCAAACCGTCCTGTGTTGTAGAACCCAAAAATAGCTGATGGGGAAATTTTTGGCACAAATTCTACAATTGCATGGTCTTTTAATACATTCAACGTGCGGTTCCTTCTACCTACAGTGAAGTACATAACCATGCAATTCTGGTCAGAGGAACAGTCGAATTGCTCGATAATGTTTTCTACTGACATAGAAAACTTTCTGTTCTCTTTTATTATTAGATTTTCGTTCTGCCATCAAAATTTCTTCATTGACAATTCAGAGAACAATCTTCTCAATCGATTTCAAATTCATACTGCTTCTTCTCTCAGACTGCGGATGATAACCGGAAAAAGTTTTCGGACATACTATCTCCGAGAAGGAAAGAAACGCGCAGAGACAGAAACTTTTGCGACTGACTACCGAGACTGAAAGAATTTCCATTTGTGACTTGATGTCACACACGGCCAAGAGGGAGAAAATTCTCAGCGTGAATTTTTCCGTCTACTCTCGTGAAAGAACGACACTTTACACATCACTTCACCAGACGAAAGAAGCGTCAAGACAATAAAATATATGATGGGAGACCGAGAGTGCTCCCGATAGCGTAGATCGATAAATTTGTCTAATGTTTCGTCCGTGGGACGATGTCCTAAAATGATGTATTATGCGAGTGGCTCTAGTGCGAAGAAAGAGTGAATTCCTGAAGTTTAGCGATCAAAAATTTCAACCATTTAGATCAATCCTAAAGGATAATGAATTAAATTTGTCACAAAAATCAACTGCAATATATTTTAACACATTTATTGGTTTCAAAATTTTCATTTTTAAAACTGTAAACAGTGCTTGGAGAGCAATTGATATGTCATATTGTAGTGTCTTGTAAATCGTTTTATATGCCACGTCTTAAGACTATCTTCCGACGCTTTCAGAGCAGATCGTGTTGTTACAGGGAGACGCTGTGTGAGGTTGAAGAAATGTGGAAAAATGCCCCCGCTGGCATGTTAATATGCCAAACGACAATATTTTACAAAGCATTTTTCAACGCACGCAACAGACATGAGGTAGAAATAGTGAAGCATCGCTTAAAGTCTGAGATAATACATGTTGTGTCATTTTATATGCCAACATTCGCATCAAAAATGTCCTCTTTTTAGGGTCGTGGGAGATAAAGCGGACATTAAAATTCAGGACGGGACAAAAAAGCCCTCTCAAGCTTTTAATAACGTCAACTTATCAATTTTCATCCTTGACATGGTATCATCTTTTTGTTTTTCCAACGCCCACACTGGCGAAATCATCTCTCTAGTGCGCAAAAAAGCATACCTATCTTCTCTTAATATGAATGGATGTTTAAGTGAATTTCATAATTCTGCGTGGAGAGTCATCGAGCGGAATACATTGTGGAGCAAACACCCCGTGTGTGCCAAATTGGATGAAAAAGCCAAGAGAGGGAACTCTCCATGGAGATTAGAATCACTCCCCTTTGTTGTTATACCGCTCTGTATGCTGTGTGGATTGTAGAGAGACAAAGATGAGTCGAGTGAGAGTGCGAGCGACACTTTGCCTTTAATAAATCCTCCACCAAATTACACTCAATGGCAAAAGTTTAGTCGCGCGCATCGTAACATTTTAACGCACAAAGAGGGTTGAAAATTAATGTAGAAAAAGATGGACCAAAAACACGACTTTTTGTTTTTGGGTCTCGAAAGCATTGCACAGCATTTAACTCATCATTTACATATCTGTCTCTTGACTTTTGTATTTGTTATTCAGTCAATTAGTTGATTCATTTTGAGCAAACGACGCGCTGAATCTCTTCGCGATAAACAACATGTTGTAACATTTAAGATATTGCCAAATCGTTATTGGGTTGCGCTTTGAAGAAAAGGTCATCAGAGGGAAGGTGGATTTCTTTGAGAGCAATGTATTCCCACAGCAATTACTTCGTTACTGAGAAGTAAATAATCAATTTTCTCGTAGAATTGCATATAATAATTTGCCATAGACATTTAAAGTGACATTTTTCCATTCAGAATAGCACACACAAAGGCGAAGAGGACACGAAAGTGAAGAAAAATGGCTTTTCCATTCACCGTCATTCCGGAAATTTCTTCAATATTTCATTGTCCATTGATGATTTGGGCAACAACAAGGAAAAAAGATTAACCAAACATTTTCTTCTTTATTGTATCTTGCGTGTTATAGCGAAGAAGTCAATTTATCTCAATGGCACACACGTGGAGAGTAAGTGAAATCAATTCACGCTAAATCTTGCAAATATCACCATCAATTATGTGCAAAATGTGACAGATTGTGATCAATTTTCTTATGGGGGGGAAGAATTGCAGAGCACTTCGTGTGGCTAAATTTACCGAAAAAGCTCCACATGCTGCACATCATTTTGATTAACATGATGAGACAGTCTCTCATGGTCTCATCAATTAAAGTAATTCACATCCAATTTGCAATGGGTGGATGCAAATGACTTTCAGCAGTGTATTTTTATGTTACATCCGTCACGACGACCCCTGGAAATGGCGGGTGGGGGGGAGAAGTGTGTGTGCGCGGCGTTGTGTGTGGCAAAGAGCGTCGGAATGCTGGGGAAAATGTGCGGAAAATGTACCTGAAATTATATTACATCATTGAGTAATTTTCACAGAGAAATTCCACTCTGCCAGGATCGATGCTTAGTTGTTGGGGGGGAGTGAGAAAATGGGTGGTTTTCGCAGTGGGTGGTGCATTTTCATCAAACACTTCAACCCTCATTGCAGGTGTCGGTCTATTGACTCACGTTGATTTCACCCATGGCCATTAATTCGAGTGTGGAACGGACATGAGCACATGATTAAATATTCACGTGTGGCGAGTGTGGGTGGTTTTTCTAAATGGGTGTGGGGAAATGGTAAAATAAGTCGCCATCAGTCATGTAACGGGATCTATCCTTTCCCTTCCTTGTCGATGGATGAGCTAGAAAAAATCAATGCATCTCAGCAGAAATTTCTCAAGATTTCCCATAAGATATCGTCAAGGTTGTTTCAGTGATAAATACAACGCCGGAGACACCCTCTATATAAATATTTTACAGTGAAAAGGGCGATGGTATAACAGGCAATTTCTGCTGAGATATAAATCCTTCAGGACACGTTCGGTGGATTAACACACACACACACACACACATACACACACAAACGGGGACTTCAATGGAGAATTTAAGCGCCCACCCATCATCAATATTTAACTAAGGCTCACATGTGGAGCTGGGGGCTCTCAATTAGACGAAAACATTGACGTGGAACTTCATTAGGATTGAGGAACAAGTTTGTCGGTTTTGGGTACATCCTCAAGCTCATCATGTCTTTATCAATTCATTCTTTCAAGAGTGTATTTCACTGATTTGATTTACAGATTCGGGCACTTTTTATCATGTACTTGACGTGATTTGGATGTCGAGATAATTTTAGAACAAACTCTAAAATGTTAACCCAAAATTGGGAGAAGTGTCACTCTGATTTGTGTTCATGTTACGGCATACAAATATGTACCTTAACATTTGCAATCTACCATTTATGCGATGGTTTTGAATTTATACTGGGCGAAAAAGGGTTTGACCAGTGTTTTTCGTGGCATTTCATAATTACCTTTACTTACTCTAGGCTGCAAACATGTTCATTCCCAATACAAACCATCATACAATAAGAGAAATTGTGTTCTTGAAAAATCCTTACACACAATTCATTATTATTGATACCATGATTAATGATGTGTGTGACAATTTACTATCTTACACTAAGTACACATGAGAACAACTTTCTTTGTGTTGATACGCTTGACCGTCCATTCAAAAGTATTTACTGAACTTGATGGGGTGAAGAAAAAAGCTTCTGAATGAGGAGAAAGTGTTATAGGAATTTCTCGCGTTTCTCAGTGTGAGGAAAAGAAGTCCTTTCATTGATTTATATACGCCTGTACATGCGTTAACTGTGAAATGATGATGAATGCTCATGTTTGTTTTCTCTCCTTCTTCCTTATTTATAGCACATGGTCCAAGCGGGGGTGGGGCCCTTCCCGACGGCCCCTGGATTCCCACCGACCCCGGCGGTGACTGCGGAAGGGATCTCGGTGGCGGTGGCAGTGAAAGGTGGCGCCGAGAGTGTTCAGCCGCAGATCAAGACGGATTCTATCGTGTCACAGCCCACTCCAGGATCTCAGGTGCGTGTGTGTTCTTAATTATGGCCTCCTTGAGGGGTGTGTAATGAGTTTTCCGAGAGTATAAGTTTCTTCACGGACTTTCGCAGCAGCCAAGTGGACAGCAGCAATTCAGTCCACCACTCCTTGGATCTCAGCCTGGTCCACCGGCATCCACTGGCCCACCTACGCTTCCTTTACCTCTTCCAGTTGCCACAATAGCGAATGGAATTGAACAACAAACTGTCAGTATAGTAAGTCGCAAAAGTTCTTCATGCGATCCTTGCGATTGGCTATATCCTTCCTTGTTGGCTTCCTCGAGTGGTTGTGACTCTTGTAGTCATCTTAAATCCTCACTCCACTGCCTATAATTCATTTCATCCATTTGCACAACTTTCCCTGAAGTGTGTATGTTGGTGTCGTAATTAAATTGCGTGAATTTTCACACAATATTCCTAGCTCATCCTGTGTTGAGAATGTTTGGGCAATTTGCTTGGTGCGTCTCCCTTAAATGATTCTCTCTGCATGTGAGCTAATTTGTAGATTTAAATTGAATTATGTGGCGTGTTTCAATTTTCTATGTGTTAATTAAGAGTTGACGGTAATTATTGTGAAATGCAACATAATCGATTTGGGTGGGCAAGATGGAATGGCGTTTTTCGCCCCATCTTCACAATGTCTGAAATGAGATGATTAAAAATTAATTATATTCTCCAGCAAAAGTATAGGGAGAGATTGTGAATGAAGAGATTGTACATGAAAGTTTAACTTGTAGACGCGCAAGAAATAGAAAGTCTATCGGGTGGAAAGGAAAAAAGGGGTGAAAAGAAAATTATGAGGGACTTTGTCGCTTGTTCACACTTTTACAGACGCGTGCAGTTAATATCGACACTCTCGTATTCATTATTTCACCCGGTGCTAAACTCACTAAAACACAATTGCTATCATATTTCCAACACTCACCTGTTCTTTCCTCAACTGGTGGCTCATTTCCCACTCTTTTACTCATCCCATTGTCATTGTTAAAAGCCCCGAGAGCGGCAAAGAAAGGCAAAAGTATTTCCTTAATGAGTGAAATTTAAATTCCTATCTCTATATCATTTTTCACACGGAAAGATGAGGCGAAACGATCCTAATTTCAACTGTGAACAAAACTCTAACTAAAATATTGATTTATCAGCGACGTGGGAGAGGAGCAAAGGCAAAAGCACGCGAAAGCTACGCGCGTTCATGAGAAATTGAGTTTTTGAGGCCAATTCGGAATTTAACAACTTCTCTATAACATACTCAACATCTGAACTTTAGAGTACCATTATCGAGCATTTCTTCTAGAAGACTTACTTCTAAATTTGAATTTCAGTTTTTAATATCTATGATTCAGTCTCATATTCGTTCTAAAGTGAAATGTGTTCAAATGTGTTACAGTGTACATGTATATTTTGAGTAAAATTTATGGGGCGACTCTAAATCGTACTTCTATATAAATTAGTTTTCTGTTTTCCAAATTGATATTCCTGCGCGATCACAGTATATAGCTGTGCTTTAGCGGAGCTCTAATTGTTGGATTTCAGTAACATTTGATTTGATGTTGTATGGTTTATTTTTAGTCCTAATCTTTGTGATATATCACGCTAAGAGGCTCTTCATTTGTAATTGAATTTGTCGAAGTGCAGGTTGGTGGAATAATGAATAACAATGGATTGACTTCCTCACCAGACAAGTAGCGTAATTTCTTCCTATTATTCTTGAGAGCCTTGAGAGAGTTTGGGACATCAAAGAGGGTGGAATAAAGTTTTCTCCGTTTTCTGGGGCTTAGCCTTTTGGGGATTTTCATTAAAAATTCAATGTTTGAGGAGAGTTCAAATGATACCCTCTTTCGCTTAGTGTCTGTTCCTGCTGAGATGGCTAATCCGAAATCAATTGCTGCTTTTCCTACACCGTCAATTCCTCGTGAAACTCAATTTTCTCTCCAATAGAAGCTTCGAGAGTGATTTACTCTAACTTTATTGAATGCTATTGAAGGGATACTTAAGTAGGGGGAAACTGATGTAAACCGTGTACAACATTTTCTGGTAAAATTGGTTAGTTTCTCTCATCTTTTCTTTGTTCTGAAAGTGACACTGCAAAAGTCTGTTTGCTAGTTGACTCAGAAAAATGTAGACTTGTGCTGCAATTATGAGGAAAAACTTGTGTACTTATGGTGAAAAGTTTCAGGGAAAAGAGAAAGCTAGACTTTTGCCCAGAGAGCAAATGTTAAAATTAGTTTATAAATAGACTCAACATATGCACAAACAAGCAAATGTTCTGTTTACGGAATAAATAATTTATTAGTTGATGTTTCATCCAAACCACTAAAGAGACGCGGGGAGAGTTCGTGGCATATGTGTGTGTTGAATTTCATCTGTTTTTCGTCGATTTTCACCTCAAATATGCGTTATCCCTCTTTAAAATGTCTTTGTGTGTGTGTGTATTCTTTCCACACGCCGACAATTCAATATGGCATGAGGAGCGCGTACGAGAAAAAGCACCCGAAATGTTTGCTCGCGAGCCTCCCTTTGCATGCAAAAATTCCGTAGCATGAATTTTGGATTTCCAGGGTGACTTTTAAGCTCATGCCAGCTAATAAATAGTCTCGCCCGAAGGCATTTTGAAAGAAATTAAGAATCCAATTTTGTAATCTTTTGTGCACCGAATTTTGTTGGATATTGAGTTCAAAAGGCCACTTGAGATAGTTTTGAAACATGCCAAGAACATGCTGGTGCTGGTAAAAGTTTTCATTGACTTCTAAGCGGAACTATACCGTAAATTATGAGATGTTTCACGATCAAGTTTCGCATAAGCATGAATTCTTTCCCGAAAAGATCATAATTCAATCTGTATGGAAGGATGTAATAAAGATTTCAGACTGGGTGGAAGTGCATTTCATCATTTATGAAGCAGGAGGGCGAAAAGAGGGCCGCAGACATTAAATTTAGTGGAAGTTACTCGAAAATTCAACTATATCACGTTCTTTGGACACACAAGACTCTCTCTCACTCTCGCTTGACTCTTTTCTCTGAAATATTCAAACAATCAATAAAGTGCTCCTAAAGTATTTCACCCTCTCCCTCTCGATTGAATTGGGCTTCCCACACTTCTCTGCACGTCCGGAGGAAATTTTCACGATCTTCCCGTGAGCCGAAATTTTCAACCTTCCGCAGTTTGTGTGGAAAAATCGATAAACCACCGACAGAGTTCTTGACGCAGTGAGGAAAGTAAAATCAATTAATGATTCACTAAATCATTAATTGACAAGTTCCTCAAACATTACTCACCATATATTCACTTTCGCCTTTTTATTACATACCTAATATACTTTGCGGAATATTTATTATTTCATGGGTATGGTTTTATTGTGTCAAAGGAAGCTTAGAACTTAGGGTTCGATTCTAACTTGAAAATATGCTATTTTCGCTTTTCGACTGTATTTTCATCCTCTTCCACTTGATTGTACTCAATAACTGAATTCATTGGAAGGAAGAATACATCAAGTGAACGGAATTAAATTAGTCATGACTGTTTGTTGCATATGTTTGAGGATATTGTAAATCTACAATAATATAATTCTAAGTAGAAAATTTAATTTGAATGCCTAATTACATTAGAAAAACTACGAAGTATTTTTTTATCACCATAAAAGCACGAAAGTCCATTCCTTTGGAAGGAAATGTTTACATGCAATTTGGTATTCAAAGAATCATCTTTTGCACACATTTGTGAGTTTGAGAATGTGGTTGCAAATGCATATTTTGACTGGTAATAGCAATCACTCAAGATGGATTTGTTTATAGAGAAAAAGATGTTTCCACAGTGTTTATCTGCTGTAGCATGTTGCGAATGTTTATTTACAATTGAGCCCACTCACTTTGTGTGTGCATTTTTGCCACACTTTCTTCCACATTACTATCTTCTATGAATTTACATTGACAAGAGCTTTTTTATAATTTGCCGAGTGTGTGGATGTTGTCATTTATAGTGCTTTTGTTTTTTTTTCCCTGTACTTCCCAACCGGCTCAGTCCGATCTTTTGCAGCAAACAGAGGCGGACTCAGTCACAACGGCGGCGGCCACGACAGTTGGTTTAACAAGTGTGGCAACGACGGAAGTTGGTACTGCGCCAATTGCGACTACGGCCACTCAGCCGCCGCAGCTGAGCAGCGTTCTAAGTTCTCCGGTGGCCGCGGCTACGCTGGCGCCGACCGTCGGCGCCACGACTCTCAGCGCCGCGATTGTGGCTACGGATCAGTCCAAGAACCAGCCAAAGCGGCTCCACGTGTCGAATATCCCGTTCAGATTCAGAGATCCTGATCTTAGGGCAATGTTTGGGGTGAGTATGGCCACACATCCTGTCTTATTCTTGTGCCGCCGTCTTGACTCACAAGTTTTGGCCATTTCATTGAGCATGGCTTTTTTTCTCCTCACTAATTTTCTCTGTGTGATTTTTCTTTCTCTCTCTTTTTGTGCAGCAATTCGGAACAATCCTCGATGTTGAGATTATATTCAATGAGCGCGGAAGCAAGGTATGTCTTTTTTGGATAGATTTCTATCATCATTCACTACCTCTAATTCTTTATCTCTTTCAGTGAGAATATTTTTTGTCATATATTTAGAAAATATCTCCCCCCGAAAATTTAGGTGTGAGGATTTAGCTTTGGCAGGGCCTTAGATTGGTTGGTTGTCTGTCTGTCCAATGAGGAGTTGTGATGAGATAGAGTGAGATGGTTTTCTTTTCTGCCATTGTGCTGTAAATTTAGCAAGAAACACTCCTCACGATGCTGCAGGAATAATTGGTCAGGATAATTCTCTCTCTTGTGAAGTTTATCGTCTTTTGTGTATACCTTTGCCTTTTCTGTTGGTGTGCGGGGCAAACTTCCCACTCATCTTCTCAGTTCACTTCAATCTTAAAGACTTAACACTTGAGCGCGTGAGTAAACTTCACAGAGGGATGAATTTAGCTGGTTAGTCTTTTAGTCGATAAGGTGAAGAGTATGATTAGGAAAAGTGTTCGATAAGAAAATCACGCGCAACCTGATTTCTTTAAAAGAGATATTTTTTATACATTTAAATGGAATATATAATCGCTTGAAAACAAATTGCAATAAGAAATATTTTTGGTGTAGTTCATTTTTGACTGTATTTTCTTTACTTCTCTATTATCTCAGTGAATGAATTACCCATGAATAGACGATCTTCTTTTATCTTTTCATATATAGTTTTTTTTTATCCTGGTGTACCTTGAAAAATGAAGAGTCACTGTTTATTAGAATAACAAAGAGAAATTACTCAGAGAGAAGAAGAGTTTTGTTATAACATTTAATCTGTGAATTTGCTTTATTCATATCAGTTTTTTTTCTTTTCAAAAGGTTGTTCACTGAATCAATATAACATTTTTAGAGAAAAAAAATTAAATATTCATTCAAAGATCTAAAAAAGTGAACAATCTTTTGATTTCAATTTTTTCAAATTCAACAGGCTATCATATAATTATTCCTAAATAGACTTTCTCCTCTATTGTTGATGAACGAAAATTAATAATAATAATACAGAAAAAGGAAACAAATAACAATTTTCTTTTTTATTCTACTATTTTTTGCCTTATAAATTTTTCGAAAAGCAATAACGATGAAACATTAAAAAGAAATCTTTGAACATATTACATTTTAATACCTATTAGTTGTGCTTTTTGTAAAAGCTTTGATGCGAATGCACAATATATTGAATTAAAATAATTGACAAATGGCCCTCAAAGTGTTATGGTAATGTTCTCTAAAGATGAATTTATTTCCTTAGATATTGAAAGTATTTTTAACTTCATTTATTTAATAATTTGTTAGTTGGACAAGACACACACAACATTAATTGCTCCACTAGTTAATGTCTGTTTACCAAACTCTTTCTCTATATTTCTGCTATCCTTTTTGATTTTTTTTAATATATTTATTTACCTTAGAAATTCCAAAATACAATTCTTTACATTGTGTCATTAGGATATATTTTTTATACTCAAACTTTTAACTTTATCATTTTTAATTTTCATCTCCCAATCATTGTAATTCGTTAGTAATTATCTTTGATTATTACTGTTTTTAATCGCTTCTATTAATCCTTTTTGTAATTATTTTGAACACACTGCTGTTTTTATTATTTGTTTTTTTTAATTGGTTTGCTACACACTCTATTATATATGAATTTTTTGTCTGATCACACAAACACTGAAAGACATGCTCATCAAGAACGTTGATTTGTTTGAATGATTCTCAGATGGTTGTAAATATGAAATCCAGTGTGATTCAAATTTATATTTGCTCTTAATTTCTTTTTACTTTGGACCCTTGAAGCAAATTTGCCTTTAGAGAGAAAGAAGTGAAAATCCTTCAATGTACTTATTTAGTTTTTAACCACAATGAGAGAACGCTGAAATGATAGAGTTTGCAATAATTTGATATTCTTCCTTTCAAAATTCCTTTTTTATTTGTTCACTAAATGTACAGATATTGAAATCCTATTTTATTATACCGTTCTTGTCTAAGGAGATATGCTCAATGTTGTGTTGAGTTGACGAGATATAATATATTTCTCTTATCTTGAACGCATTGGACTTTTTGTTGTCTATATTCATGATGGAGAGAAGAAGTAATTTTTTGGCGTAATTACTGTTGTAAATAATTAATTGTTCTTGCTACTTCCATCGCGAGATGATTTTGTTTTCAATGAATCATTGATTTTTCTTTGACATTTTGACACAGATACAGTGAGAATTTCACAGTAATTTCTCCCTTCTCCCCAACAATTATATTTTGTAAAAATTCATTTTGTTGCTCATTTGTAAACATCCCTCTTGACTTTTGTTGATGATGCAAGTAACACTTCAACAGTCTGCAGCATTAGTGTGTGACCACGTTGTATTTTTGGATCAATATCATAGACACCAATTATTGTGTGCACTTTATCGCAAATCGAATGGCATAATAGATTTTTCTTCTAAATAGAAAGTCGCCTCAGGACGAAACACTGTCAGACTTTTAGTGGTTTTGGAGGAATTTGATATTAGAAAACGCTTTGAATTGATAATCGACAGTGTGATTTTTTTTTCATTTCTGTATATAACGAGTACTGCAAATGCTACAGATTAGCAGGTGGAAGTGAAAGAAGCACAAAATTGTCATTAGAATCGTCCACTCGAATACTCAAACCCTTCAATTCGGTTGATTTGAAAAACAAAGATCATGTGAAGTTTAATTAATTGTTGTATTATTTTGTTTCAATATTTTTATACATAAATGAATGGAGAAGGAATTATTATTTTGCAGATTATTTCTGCCAATTATCTCTAATTACATTTTCAATCTGAAATATTCTTTCGTATTATCCTGCGTTTACGACAATTTCACTTTCCATTTTGAGTTTTCCATATAAATAAAGCACTAAATGCGAGGAACTGTTAAACTGTGACAGAGCTGCAGTACTTTTGCATTAAACGCTGCGATCAATACTAGTAAGCAAAATATGTGATCCTCACACACTTTTGTGAATGACTGCAAATGACGCAGTATAATTCTCCATCTGTGTATTAGTTGTGCTGCAAAGCCTTTTGCGAGGGAAGATCAAGAGATAATTGAATGATTTTTCGTGCCTTTATAAATTTTTTTTTGGAATATGGATAAAAGTAACACTTTGATGTCCTTTATTTTGTTCTTACAAATATATATTTGATATATCCTATATATTTGGATGCAAAGAGAATTTTACAATTGCTCTGAGACTAATATTTCTGCATTTAGATTACCTCCTTTTTTTACGAATTTCGACGAGATTGTTTAAATGAAAAATGACAGATTTATCGAATCATTTTCACATTGACTTTACTCATAGAGATTTGAAATATATATTTGCTATATCTTAATTTTTACTGTCAAAGAACCGACCCCCCACCCCCCTGGAAAGAGTAAACAGAAAAGAGTTGAAAATTAGTTGATTCGGATCAATTGACAGAGATGTGGAATCAATCAATTTTCTTATTGCAATTGCTTTTCCCCTGATTTTCAACAATTTTTCTTACTTTAATTTCTGATCTGCAATGAGAGTCTTTAAGACTGTTTGCAAGTATTTCATTCTCCTTTAATTTTTATCCAGAAATCTACCAAGCAAAAAATGACCTAAAGTGATTATCTTTTCATTCTTGTTTTCGAAATATCCATTTATTATTTAATACATTCTTTTGACGATAAATATTTGATGAATGAGAAGAAGAAGAAAATAGCTAAAAAGAGACATATTTGATGAGGGTCGGTTGTATATTTTTTGTTGCACGTTGTTTTTGAGCGGACGCTGTTTTTAATGCATGTTTCTTGTTCTGTCCTTGCATGTAGGGATTCGGTTTTGTAACATTCGCTAATAGTAGCGATGCGGAGCGAGCACGCGAACGTCTTCACGGCACTGTGGTTGAGGGGCGCAAGATTGAGGTGTGCATGATAATATGAATTTTTCTTATCTCAAAATGAAATGATGAATACAAATTTTTTACAAACCATATAATTATATATAATCAATTTACTCACTGTGATACATATAGATTACAAAATATTTCCAATCCACTCTCCCTGAACCTCCTCTTGAGAAAATGTTGTTTATGCTATAGAGAATCATGATTTTGACGTTTTATATCGATGGACTTGTCCGTGTATCTCCTAAATGTTTCTTTATGCAATTTCGCAACTTTTGGTTACTTGTCGAGTGATATAATGAAGTGTATACAGTTAGTGGAGTCATGCTCAGATGCTAAAGTCATTTCAATTAATGGATTTCCTGGAATTCCCTTCTTCGGAGATGTCACACATTGAAATTGACGAGATTAGTCTAATCAAAGCGTTGACATGCAGTCCTAAAAGTGCAGTCAAAAGCCAAATTCATTAACTGTATACACTCTTTTTGAGTTTGTAAAAGTATTGCTCCAGTTTTTGGGAGATCTTTTTGGCAAAAGATAATTTGAAAGCCATTCAACGGAGCCATCAAATTGTCTTGATGTTGATGAAATCAGTCAAAAAAGAAAAATATTTTGTACATTTTATGTGTATCAGTGATGCAAAATATAGAACATTAGAAAGTAAGATGACATTGAGAGAAAACTGCAACAAATGCCATAAACAGGTAGATTGTAAGCACTTACTTAAGACTTTTTTGTTGTTTCTCAAAAGCTGTGTGTACAAAGAAAGCCATTAAGAACTGATACCGAGATATGAGAATTTTTCTTTGTTGACCGAATGTGTATGAGGAAATGCATAACAATTTGCTATATAGACTTATAAAAAAAAATACTACAGAACTGAAAGCAACAAGAACATACATTAGGTAAAAGAAAGATATGCAGCATGGGTGAAGGTGAAATGGGGCAAAAGAGAGGAAGTAAAATGCGCCAAGAATTTGCTCAATTTCCCCTTCTTCGGCTGAACAAGTAATTTAGTGGAATTTTTCTGTATGAATTAACACCAAAACAGTGGAACGCACAAGAAACCGTATTTGTTTTACAATAATTTCATCTTCCTCTTTTATTTTTGTTCTATTGTCTGGCCATTAGACTTAAGTGATTTTCTTATTTTGTTTTTGGTAATTCTTCTGCGCGAATCCCATGTAAGCGAGAAGTGTATTCTTATGTTAGGTAGGATTACTGTCAAGTGACGAGGCAATATTAGTTTTAATGCAAAAACACGTGTCTTATGATTTACTTTATAACAATTCAACCATTTACCTTTATCTCTAGTGAATCAGACAGATTTCCAATTGTTTAATGCGACTCTTGCGAATTGTTGAAAAACGAAAAAGCCATAACGATACAATGTGGGGGTGTTTTTGATCTCTGTGAGAGGTAAGAAGTGAGATTTGGACATGGAAAAATCATTTTTAAGCCAAAAAAGCATACTACCAAGAAGAACTTTTTTTTTTATTTATCTAAAAAATAAAATTAAACCTTCACTGTAATTCTTTTTATTACCAAAAAGTTGTATTGCGAAATGATCTCTGTAATTTTACCAGAGAGAGATTTAGTTTAATATGCGCAAAAGTATATTAATATTTGATGAGTTTTCATCTTCTGTATTACCTGTAATAATTTTCTAATTTAATATTACATATATCGTTAATTTCTTTCTGAAGGAATGAATCGCTCGCTAATTCTATATATATTTTTCTATGTATCTACAATATAATCTTACCACCGCAACTGATAATAAGAATCTATATCGGTTGAATATTGTAATGATGTAATTATTTCTATGTTTTATTTGGTAACTTCTTCTTAGTTTTGTCTTCTTTGCGTTTGACTTTTTAATTCTTTCAAGAGCCGTATCATAAATCGTACGTTATTAATATATATATATATATATATACATTTTTTTTTCTTTATGGATCAGGATATGAACAATTGATTGTGTAATATTTGTTGATCAAGAGATGACTGTTGAATTTTTGACATAGCGATTTGAGCGAGGGTTTTCCCCTAACTTTCCGAATCTCTTAGTTTTTTCTTGACCATCCACTTTCTCATTTATCCTCATGATAAATTCTTTTTGTGTTTCTAATGTAAGAAAATTTATTACCTCCCAAGTTGGCGGAGGAGAACAAAGTGGGAGAAAATGACCGTTTTCTCAAGTGGATTCGAGGGTTTATCATTTAATGAATTGTTGTGTAGGAGATGTCAGTATTTATGGCATGGATTGTTGCAATTAGAACCACTATTATGTGTGTGAAGTGCCAAAATTACAACTTCTTTTCAAACTTTTCTAGTATAATAATTGCACATTGTACTCCGCTCCTCTTCCTCGATGATCAACTTTGTAGTCCTTCTACTCCAGCCGATTTTGCACACGTTTCGTAGATAATTTTGAAAAATTATCCGCCACTTATCCAACAGTGGCGCTGGCGCTGCCGCTAATGTCATTCTTTTGCTTTGTGCTGAATAAAGTACACGTGTTCGTGATTTTGCTCTCGAAAATGGAGCAAGAAATCAAGAAATTGGCGAAGCGGTTCGACAGGATGGAGCGGAAGCTGAGGGAGAGAAAGCGGAAGAAGAAGCAGAAGCGTCACGGTAAGAATAGAACTAAAACTTTCTGCTTCTTTGTAGACACCTAAAGTGAGGTTATGACACCACACTCCGGATAGCCAAAAGATGAGTTTTCACTCATCGTGGTCAGGTCATGCCCTGACCACAGCGCATTGGACACACATAAAAAGCTATTGAGCCAGGCGCGGTCTGCTCTACTGTTTTTTATGCTTCCGGACAGCCATTGTCTGAGGTGAGCCATGCTCACTGTGTCCCCGGAAAGCTCTAGTTTTCACTTGAGCGTGCTTTAAAGGCTATAAGCATAGCCTTAAGTGTGCATCACACGTCCCTTCTGAGTCATTACTCGAAGGAGAAGCACCTTCCGGTTGAGAGCGATATCTCTCATTGATGCGCAAGGCTAGCATCGTCTCCTGCCCACATCAATCTCGCGTCTACATTGACATCTCAGAGCGTCTACATTGACATCTCAGAATTGAAGGTAACCTTAAATTCTTTCTCTTCCTATGAACTTAGGGAGGAACAGGAGCACCTCAAGGGGCAGGAGCAGGATTAGGAGCACCTCCAGACACAGGACGAGGAGCAGGAGTTCGCTGAGCAGCAGTGAGAGCCCCGACAGGTCGCGCAAGGAGGACGACATTCCTTCAATTCAGTCCCACAATGAGGCTGAAAGCGATTCTCACAAGAGTGAGGAAGATCCTCCACCAGATCTGGCTATCATCGACAACGATGAGGCTGATATTCTCACCGCGGGTGAAGTTATTGAAGTCCTGGGAAAGCGTCTTTACCAGGAAAAAGACTCTGCTCCGGAAGTCTTTCCCGAAATGGCCGTGCGTTGGGATGAAATCATTGGCAAGGGAATTCCAGATGATGTGCTCAAGATCTTAACTGCAAAGTATCCTCCGCCAAAGAACTGCGGCAAATTCGAGCCATCAAAACTGAACCCAGTTGTGAAGGCTACTATGTCTGAGAAAGTCGTTTCACGTGACAATCAAATTGTGAAACGCCAAGAGAAGCTTTCTGCTGCCTTGTCAGCAATCGCCACAGCGCTTTCTGTGGTGGTGACGTCTAAACCTCCGGAATGGAAGAGTCTCGCTGAGACTCTTTCCGATGCCAATAAAATCATCTCTGATGTACAGCACGACCAGGCGTTAATCAGGAGGACCCTGATTGTGGCAAATGTGGGTGCTTCCATGCGAGATACTCTGAAGGAAACAGAAATTGGAGAATTTCTGTTTGGTGATGCACTGGAGGAGACAATCAAGAATACCAAAACTCTCCAGGCTGCATCGAAGGATCTCAAGGAGTCGACTCCACGCACAAAAAACTGGAAAGCCCCGCAGCGACAGCATCAGCGAACGCAGAAGACTTCGACAGCGGCCAGCGGGGCAAAGAAGCAGACTTCGTCGAGGAAGCAGACCCAGTACAAATCTAGGGAGAAGAGTCGCACCACGTCAGACTCCAGACGCCGGCGTTAGAGACGGTAGGTCATCGGGCTGGTCGGTTGAGAGACTTTTATGAGAGTTGGAGTGAAATTACTTCAGATAAAGTAATTCTCTCTTGGCTAGATGGGTACAGAATCCCATTTTCTCGCCATGTACATCAACCTCGACCGCCAAATGAGAAGAAATTCTCTCAAAGTGAATTCAGGAATATCACTTTAGCCGTTAATGAGTTAATAGCAAAATCTGCAATTGAGATTTGCTCTGCGGAGGAGGGGCAATTTATTTCTCCGATATTTCTTGTCCCTAAGCCTGATGGCTCGTATCGATTTATTATAAATCTCAAACAACTGAATCAATTTATTGATCCTCCGCATTTCAAGATGGAAGACGGTCGTACTGTCACTAAACTCATGACGCAGAACTGCTATATGGCATCAATAGACCTGAAGGATGCGTATTATTTACTCCCGATCGATGAGAGGGATAGAAAATACCTACGATTCTCGTTTAATGGCAATCTCTATCAATTCACGTGTCTGCCATTCGGACTATGTACAGCCCCATTCGTCTTTACAAAAATCATGAAGCCCGTGGCTTATTATTTGCGAAGTTTGGAGATTCCACTAGTCATTTACATTGACGATCTTCTAATAATGGGAAAATCGTCTCAGATTTGCGCAAATAATATGACGAATGCTGAGAAGATCCTGACCAAGTTGGGTCTCGTAATTAATTACGAGAAAAGCCAGATGAAACCATCACAATACTGCAAATTTCTCGGTGTGTTTTACAACTCAAGGAGGATGTCAGTTGAACTTCCAGAGGCAAAGAGAGAGAAAATTGTCTCTTTAACGAGTAACTTCAAGGAAAATAAGACGTATCGCATTCAAAAATTTGCTGAAACGTTAGGCTTTCTTGTATCATGCTGCCAGGCAGTTAAATACGGCTTGGTCTACACCAAGGCCAGTGAACTGTTAAAATTTAACGCTCTTTTGAATAGCAATGGTAGTTACAAAGGAAGATTAACTATCAATAAAGAGGTGGTTGAAGATTTCAACTGGTGGGCAACTGTGGGCTCACTAAGCATAAATCCCATCAGATATCCGTCTTACGATCATGTAATTTTCACGGATGCTTCCAAATCAGGTTGGGGTGCTATTTACAATGAAGAAAGAGCAAGTGGTTTCTGGTCTGATCGTGAAACACAAGAGAGTATAAACTTCTTAGAGTTGACAGCGGTATTTTTTGGACTAAAATGCTTTGCAAAGGATAAAAGAGACTGTCAGATTCTCTTGCGTGTAGATAATACTACAGCAATTTCCTACGTCAACAGAATGGGCGGAGTGCAATTGACAGATTTAAGCATTTTGGCCAAGAACATCTGGAGATGGTGCGAGCAGCGAAACTTATGGATTTTCGCATCATATATCAGCTCAGAAGATAACGCAGACGCTGACGCAGAATCACGTAAATTACATTCTAACACAGAGTTTGAATTGTCGAATTCAGCGTTTAATTGCATTGTCGCGGAATTTGGACAGCCTGAGATTGACCTTTTTGCAACACGAGTAAATGCAAAATGCAGGAAATTTGTGTCATGGAAGAAAGATCCTCAATCGATAGCAGTAGATGCATTTACAATTTCCTGGAAAGATTATTTCTTTTACGCATTTGCTCCATTCTCTCTAATATTGAGAGTCTTGCAAAAAATCGAGCATGATAAAGCCGAAGGGATCGTTGTTGTACCCTACTGGCCAACTCAGCCATGGTTTCCGATCTTCCAATCGATGCTTATTTCGGACCTATTAGAATTTCAAGCTGATACATGTATCATTTCCGTCGACAGGCAAATGCAATTTTGGGAAGGAGTTACCCTGGTGGCAGGAGTCTTGTCAAGCAGAGCTGCGAGAGGAAAGGAATCCCGTCGGAGAGTCATGAGATAGTCCTACAATCTCTTTCGGAGTCATCATGGAAGCAGTACAACACAGGATGGAAAAAATGGTGGGAGTTCTGCACAGACAACAATTTGGACCCCTTTGAAACGAATACTGAAAGTGTGTTTCGTTTTCTAACTACTGAATTTAACAAGGGAGTCTCTTATGGTACGCTAAATTCATATAGATCAGCCCTATCGATGATAGTTGGATCTTGGTTGGCCCAAGATGAAGGATTAAAAAGATTCTTCAAAGGAGTTGTTAGAATCAGGCCCAGTAAGCCAAAATACGATAGTACGTGGGATCCTAAAGTCGTGCTAGAGCTATATAAGCAGAAACCCATCAATGCGGAACTAACTCTTAAAGATCTATCATTTAAATTGATAATCCTCCTGGCTCTTATTACGGGACATCGAATGCAGACTTTCTCATTGATAAATATCGAGGATATTAGAGAGACCGAAGAGAGAATTGAAATAAGGATTCCAAAGAGAATCAAGACGTCAAGTGTTGGCCGATCTCAACCTGTATTAATCATCCCATTCTATAATGAAGAACCCAAATTATGTGTGGCGTCGACTCTTAAACATTATTTGAGCAAAACAAATGAACTAAGAGGCGCAGAAAAACAACTTTTTATATCACATAAACGTCCACATAAATTAGTAGGCGCCCAAACTCTCAGTCATTGGGTTAAGAATGTCCTGGAAGAGTGTGAGATCGACACTACTGTTTTCTCGGGATATTCTACACGTCATGCTGCCACCTCGGCGGCAAATAGAAAGGGTTTAGATATTGAAGTGATTAAAAAGACTGCTGGGTGGACAATGAATTCACATACTTTCGTCAAGTTTTATAACTTACCATTGGCAAACAACAAGGAATCCTTTGCCAATGTAATCCTACAGGGATGAATTTCTAAAGAAAAAATCTTGTTAGAAATAAGATCTAAGCTGAAGTTAATCTATGAAATATAAAATCAATAATCAAATTTCATGGATATAATTTATCTTTCGCGGCCGTAACATCGCGTTGAACATCTACAAAGTTGATCATCGAGGAAGAGGAGCGGAGTACAATTAAATGATTAAACGAACTTACCAAGTGAAGTTCTATCATAATTGTACGAAGCTCCTCTTCCGAGATGATCATACCCACCCAGAATTCCCTATATTTATAAACCCTAAATAATTGTTACGGCCTATACAACTTTAAAATAATGACATTCGTGGCAGCGCCAGCGCCACTGTTGGATAAGTGGCGGATAATTTTTCAAAATTATCTACGAAACGTGTGCAAAATCGGCTGGAGTAGAAGGACTACAAAGTTGATCATCTCGGAAGAGGAGCTTCGTACAATTATGATAGAACTTCACTTGGTAAGTTCGTTTAATCATTTAATTATTGCAAGAGGAAACAATTCTTGTATTTATTGGAAAATTTTCACTGAAAAACACGAAAGAAAAGAAAATGTGATCAATTTTATCATTAGTTTGAGACCTTGCGGAGTTTTGCGCAAAGTTTCACGTAAATAGTTTTAAAGTAGAGTATAGAATGAATCCTGAAATAATTAAATTTTATATAGAAAACACTTTTATGAGTGAAATGTCTTAACGAAAAGAATGATGAACCTCTCGAATTCAATAAGTAAACATGTTTTTCTCAAACCGTAACCGCCAATTTGTTATGTTTTCCAATGTAATTTTCTTTTCTATTATATCACTGTCCTTTTATAATTTGTTCCCATGGAATATGAAAAGAAGTTGCATTTCTAGAGCTTTTCACGTAAGATTGGAAACTTGTTGGACTTGCAATAATTTTTCTTACAAATAATAATAATAGATGCTATAATGAGACCATATATGAAAAGTGTTCTTTTTTTAAATTATGGAATCTTGTATGCGGATAAATATGATTGTTACTTATGCTCTTGTAGGGTTGTTGCGCCACTTTGTTGTACCATTTCAGTTTTACATTTAATCCACACTTTTCCTTATCGTCTGTCAAAAGAAGTGATGAATTAAAAATTATTATTGCGAACTCACATGGAAAAGGCTTTCATATTCGCGACATTTTTTCAATGCACTTTTCCGACACATTTGAATCACTTCTCACCAACCACAATTATGCATTTTTCACATCAGAACGATGTTTATGAAGAGAAATGAGATTTTTTGCGTAATGTGGTTTGGCTAATGTCTCGTTCCTACATTCATGAGGACAACATAATTAGTTTTCCACTGTTTTTTGTTTGTCTTTTTTTATTTTGAAAGCAGTCATTCCAATGTTGTTGTCCACATGCTTCCAATCTCTCTGCATTCCTCCCTCGAGTTTTGTGGTGCAGAGATAATGAACATGTTTTCAAATGTTTGCTAGACTAAAGTTGCACTTTTCAATTATGTGCCTCGAGTGGGCGATAAATTGGAGTTTTCGGGGTTGTTTTCGTTGTTACACTTGATTTCTTAATATCTCATCAGCTTCCAAATCATCGCTTTTTATTACTCTCTTTAGATGACAAATGTATTGAACGTAATTTAGATGGCAATCGTGTAATTTATTCAACACCTTTACAATGATAAATTAATTGGGTTGAGGTAAATTGACAAATAATTCTTTCACACACCCCACAAATTTCCCCCATTTTTGAATTTATTTTACATCAAATTACACTTCCATATTTGATAATCTGTATTATCTATTGTTTTAATTTCTAATATAATAATGACTGATGCCGTTTTTTTTTAAATTAAAATCCTATTTCACTAGATCACTTTTTTTTGCTTTACTTGTGATTAAATTTTGGACTTCAGTGAGAGATAAAATGCCAAAAATTTTGACTGACATTATTTTCAGTTTTATTTTCATTTTCTTGGAAAGATTATGAAAAATTATATCTCATGAATGTATTTGTAGATAATGTATGTTATATACTTTGTATATCTTATTAATTTTAAGCTGCATCGTGAAGCGTATTGTCAATATATCTTTGATTATAATTACTGTATAACTTTATAATAATCGACTTTTGGAGAGAAATGTGAAAAAGAATTTATTATCCTGAGGAAAGAAATGAATATTCTTTGGCTCACTCGTAAGGGTGGAGAATTGCTGCAAATCTTTGATTGAAACACATGTTGAATATTTAATTTTTTGTCGGCAATTTGCAATAATTTACACCCCAGACATGATTGTAATGTTTCATGTGAGCTCTATTTAAATATTCATGCGGAAGCCATTGAGTGAATAATATAAATTTTTGCCTCATGCACGAAAATCGTCGCGACAGCAAAATTGTAGGGAAAACACAGAGTGAATGGATATTTAAAATGAGAAAATTGACAGCGTCGCGCTGGGACAGTAAATTAATTTGTTAACCTGACATTTCAATTCAAATGAATAACGATGATTTCTCAGTGAAAATATCCAGTCACATCTGCAATGATAGAGTTAATTAAATTAAACTTCCAGGGAAGCAATTGATGTCTCAATTCTAACCCATAATTTTTTTGGCAAGCAGAGATGCTTTTCTCTCTCTTTTACAAAGTGTGCAAAAGTTTACATAAGAAGTGCAATCCGGACAATTTGAGATGCACTCAAGTGTGTGTGAGAAGTTAATGAGAAAATCTTACCACATAAGATGTGAAACAGTTTTCTGTCTCTCAGACGGAATGAAGCCACAATTGCAGAGTTTTGATCCTTCAAAGTATGAGAAAGGAAAAAAAGTTAATTGAAATGAGCTTCTCAATTGAGGGCCATTCCGCAAAACATGAGAGAGTGAAACTGTAGATAAACTTTTGCCACAGAGAAATAAAAGACAATTGATGTAAAATGTAAGAAACACACAAACACTTACACACAAATTTTAGTAACTAAGTTGCATGGATGATAAGAGATTATGAAGCGACGACAGAGGACTTGCAATATATTCTAATATGTGATTCTCATCCCGATATGTAGGTCAACAATGCCACAGCACGAGTGCAAACGAAGAAAACGCCAACAGTTCCCAATGGTGAGTTTCCTTCCGCTTCTTGTATTGGCACATTCCGAAACTCTGCCTCCTTCCCTCGGTGGCCCCGCACCATTTAATCATGATGTTGGGGAATGCCGAGGGGATGAAAAAATATGCTGTAATTCACAAACAGTGGGTGAAGGCAGAGAAACAGAAGAGAGGGTGTAGAAGCAAAATGTGTGTCTCTTCTTGTTGTGACTTCCACTTTTATTGCTTGGCCGAAAGGCTCTCTTCTCTCACTCAATGAGTCCACAGTGGCTCGCAAAATTATTCACACATGACAGCGCACTCAGAACATTCTCGTGAATGTTCCAAACAGCGATATGAGTCTCTTTTTCTGTTTGCAAACACCTTTGGGGACACAGTGCAAAAAAGAGAGAACATCAAATCCTGGCTATAGTGAGGAAGTTCTGCCTCTACAAGGGTGGTTATGGGGAAAAACATGGCAATTAGGGGTGTTTTGTAGTCGCTCAGGTGAAAAGGCATTAACAAATAATGCAGTGGGAAAATTAGATACAACATAAGGATGGAACACAACTGTTTAGGAAAATGTTGAGAATTTTTCAAGTAGAATTTAAGTGAGATTCAAAAGAAAAGTAGGTGGTTTTATCTTCATGAATGAATAATTCGTGCATTATGTACTAAGTGAATTCAGGGAGATTATTAGATATTGTAACGGTTTTAAGGATTAATTTTGCATGTACTGAAAAGGTTTTTTTCTCTCACATTCGTTGAACTGACTTCAGTTGTTTAAGAACAGGTCTTAAACATTATGGGGGAAATTTGAACTAAAAATCGATAAGGATAGCAAGAAAGACATTTTTGTTGAATCGTATCTGTGCTTCGGACAATCTCGCTTCTTTTATTCATTTGTATGTGAGAAAAGCAACTTCAACACATTATTAGCAGCCATGCAGACTATTTCCAGCCCTTCATACATATTTCTGCATTTGACTTGTTCAAACTTCACTGACTAAAATTGGACCTTTTCTGTTCGGCGAGGAGAGGCTGCTTCATGTCAAAACACACCCAAGTCTATCTTGCCTGACCAACTCTTCTCCGTGGCGATTCCGTAGTTTGAAATTCAAATAAGTAGAATTGTCAGAAAGAGCAAAACTTTCGCATTCAGGTTATCTATAGAGCGGAAAGAGTTTCTCTTGCGAGTTTATTTTTTATTCTAGACTTCTTTTATTTTCACTACATTTTCACTGGGTGAGCATGACTGTTTTTCTGATGAATCACTTAAAGTTAGTGGCTGAGAGGAGGAAAGGTCAATCGTGTGCAGTGGTGGTTGTGTGAAAAATGTGCTACATATAATTGAATTTTATCAGGAAAATACAGAAATAGAGACGGAATTCTGTGGAAAAGTTCTCTTACTCAATGTTAGCTTATCAGACTTCCTTTGTTACTGAAGAACACACATTTTGCTCACGCCGTCGTTTTTGGTTTTGGAGAGAAAAAAAGGGGTTGATTTTATTAGAAAGTTTCCCCTCCTTTAGTCTATATAGAGTTTAATTTCCGTGTCTTATTAAACAATACACAAAAGAAACATGAATAGTGAAATGCAAATACAATTTTCACTCGAAATTCTTTTACTACTTCCCTGTTTTATAACTTTATTAGCTTTGTAACTGACCTTGTCTTATCGTTTAACATTCATTCTCTATTAATATGAATTCACACTTGAAGTGCGAGATGTTGCTTTGGGAGGTTTATCGATATACTTTTTTGTTTAAGTAAACAGAGACAGATAAGCTAGCTGATATTGAAAGCACGTGTTTTATTAATCAATAGACTCTTCCTTTTTGATTTTGTAGATAAATTATGATAGAAAATTCACAGTGTCTCTCTTCTTTTCGTCCCAACTTCACAGTTTGTCTGACGAAAGAAGGTACCGTGGCAGCTCCAACTGCTCTGGGTGAGCACACAAATTGCTTCTGATGAGGAAGAGAATAAGAAAAAAAATTCACTAATGAGAAGCAAGAGATTGTATAAAAGAAAATGCTTTGTGAACGATGAATTGACTAAATTTGTGAACGTCTTGTGGATTTATAGAAGAGCACTAAACAACTGCTTGTCTCTCCACCTTTTCCTTGTCCTATAACCTTTTCAATGCTTGCAATTGATGAATTTTCTTGAGTTTTCCTGACAAAATTGAAAAAAAAAAATGTAGGGAAAGTCGATGGAAATAAAAATTCTCAACCACAAAATCATGAGTTTGTGATTTGAAAGTAAATTTTGGATGGAATATCCTTCTAAATTCTGTCGAATTAAGTTGGATTTTCCTATGATTGATAATTTTGTGTTGGAAATACTGAGAAAATTTATCAAAATTGCCTTACGAGAGAAGCCAGGATTTGGTCATTGGAAGAGCATCTGTTCTGATGTGTGCCATAAACATTTTCATTGCTTTTCCAATGGCCTCATATTTTCGGAGAGTCATCTTGCTGATATTGCTTTTCGCAGTGTTGGTTGTACAAAAAGCAATGAAAGTCTTGCTTATAAATGTTAATTTCCCACCACCAGAAGAATCACTAATGCTGCATTTAAATGTTGCCAATCCACATATGAAAAGTTTGTCTGATTGTTTAGCGTAATCACAGTTGGAAAATTGCTTCACTCATGATCATAGATTCTGTTCTTGAACGTGGGGTTTTTGCGGATTCTTATTTCATTTTGCATTTCCATTCTACTGGTAGAAATTAATGCAAAGAGACTAACCCAGTGTAAATGTTGATGAGTATTTGTACACTTCTGACACGAGATGAGCTCAAAGTTCTTGGATTATTTCACCATTTTTCCATCCTCAAATTTTATTGTATGTGTCATAAAATGTCAGAATTGCCATGTTTCGCGAAGGAAGACTTTCCAGAAACTTTGCAGCTCATCTTCAGAAAGTCAGAAAAGAACATTCAGTGCTTGGTAGAGAATTCCTTTGGAACCACATGGTAGACATGTAAAAGTACTCACAATATCTTTATAGCATTGAGAGTGGTGAGAAATGTGGAATTTTATTAATTTTCTCTTCTTCTCTTTTCTCTTTATTTCTTGCTCAACGTGAAGTGTGCGTTCAATGGCCAGAAGGTGAGTTGGAAATTATTAACGGAAATCTCTTTGGGCCAGATTTAGCTCTGAATAGATGGGATCATTTTGGTTTTGGGGAGAAAATGAGGAAAAATCACAGGGATTTTGCTTTCAATTGATTTTTGGGGGGGAGAAAATCACAGAGTTGAGTGATTGCGTTGCGAATTTTGGGTACAATCCCATGCCTTTCAATTCAATAAGCTCACGCTGTGTGCTTTTTACACCCCTGCAAGCAATGTGAAAAGCTCTCAGAAGGACAGAAAAGGGGGGAAATCCTCATGCTTGAAGATTTGAATACAATTAAGTATCGACTGAGCATGACTCGGTGCTTTTTTGGGGAGCCAATTTTCATTCATGATGGAAGGGAAAAACATCAATTACCGGTTCCAACCTACACATGATGAAAAGGGGAGAAACGAGGGGACTTTCCATCTGTTGGCATTTGGACACACTTTCCAAAGTGTCTCAAATTTTGGCCACGATGATCTTTCTCTTGTCCACCACTCACGCCTCGAGGTTGGGGTTCTTTCATTAATTTAATGGACTCTGTGGGGGCATCTTGCAGGTGATAAATAGGAGAGATGAGTAATTGATGTGCCTATGTGTGTTTTGTGGATCTCTTTCCAGCCGCGGCAGCTTTGAGGGGTGTCGCAATTCAGAGAGGACGCGCCAGGGCAGCTTTTCCGGCAGCCGCAGCCGCATTGAATGGAGCTTTTGCTAGACTGCCAACCCCACTGGCCGCAGCTGCGAACGCCGCCAATGCCCTCCATGGCTATGCACCGTGAGTATTCAACCACTTGTCACTGCATTGAACCTCTCCCGAGAGAGATAGAGAGAGAGAGAGAATGGATAGGATTTCCTCGAGGATTGGGATTGTTTGGGCATTTAATCTGTTTCCCTTCAGTTGGCCGGAAATGTGGGGTTGTTTTTACTGAAGGATGAAAGAGACGAATCATTGGGCCGTTCCCGGCCGCCGGATAAATTAATCTTCTATCGAACTTATTCGTGTGCCTGTCTGTTGATTCAGGACCACTCGAAGTTTCCCTATTGACAATATATTTGTGCAAAGCCTTTTTCACTGCATTGTAGAAATTCAATGCTTGCACTGTGAATTTAAATAGAACTGAAGAGTGTGTATACGATTTTTGGATGGTTTTAGAGTAAATAAATTAGTAGCGAAAGCACAAAGTGCTCCTCTTTGGCATGATGAGTAATGAATAGCGAGTTGAAATTTCATCATGCACAGATTCTTGTGCAAATATTTCTATTGCGAATAGAGAGAGAGAGAGAGAGAGAGAGAGAGAGAAAATTAATTATTTTGCAGTTAAAATTGATGAAAATTTTTTGAATATAGTGGTGTATGTCTAAACAAAAATTGTTAGAAACCCTATCCATATTGATATTTCTTTTATATTTCAAGACGGGAGCAAAAGAGTTTAGATGGTTCTAACATTCAATGGAACAACCCTTAGTGATAGATCGTCAATTAAGTCTTCTTCTCTCTTCACAGGATGTACTATGATCCCTTCTTGGCTGCAGCCGCAGCCACGGCAGCTACGGCGGATCCCAACTATCGTTTGCAGGTATGTGAAGCCTTTCTTCATTTTTTCGGTTTCTTATCCAACGCGTGATTCGTATTGAATACTTTCAATGTGATGAATATATTTCACGCAAAGGGCTCAAGCCACAAGTCGCGCCTGTGATTTTAAGGTATGACGAGAGGGTGGGAGTAGGGGTGTTTTTAATTAAAGAGAAAGCAAAAAGGATTTTCCATGAAATTTGCATATTATAACGGGCTTTTGTGACTATGAAGAGTGAGAGTCAACAGTGAGTGTAATTCGCGGACACGGCTTGTGGCTTTGAGATGGGGAGGTTTTCTATTTATTTTGTGCAAAAGACTGTAAATATTATGATGAATTTTGTCCACGAATTTTGATCCATTTTCGAAATGCGAGTGACATTCTGTATGTCGTCTTATGTTATTTTATGGTTAGATTGTAAGAAAGTTGTCTGAATTTTAGGTACATACAATGTGTTTTTCGTAAATTGGAAACACTGTCAATTCTATTTCAGGCAGCGAAACCAATGACGGAAGTTCCAGCTCAACCGGCAATTATAAGTGTATTAACCTTTTTTTATTTAAAACATTTATTTTTCCATCTGTTTTCTCTATTCTCTTTTATCAAACACCCACTTTATATTGTTGCTAAAAAATATTTCCCGCCCATTTGAATAAATCAATAGCCGTGGGCGGAATTGAGTTAAAGTCCTTTTTCCTCTAAAAAAAAGAGAGAGTCCCGAAGTGTGTCACTTCAACTCACCGAAAAATTGAACTATTGATTTATTCAAAAGGATTCTTCATTGTGTGTTTTCTACATCATATCTTCCTCTTCTGTTGTTCTTATTCTCTGTTGGGAATGTTGTAAATTTTTGCCTTTTCTTGAGTATATAATATTGTATTGTGCTCAATAGAATGGGAGGATGAAAAGTGGTGTGAGGACTTGCTCTATCATCCTTTCTGACGTGATGTGCCATTTTGTGAGGGTGTAGCAGAATGATAACTTCAATTTCCCTGCCAGTGTCTTATGGTTGCAATAAAACAATTTAGTAGAAATAATCATTTTATCGCGATACACGCGAATTTTAGTGATTTGTTGCCAAGGCGCTTGTGAGCGATACATTTTGATTGTAAAAGAGTAGAAAAATATTTAAACTAATATTTGAATTACTGTTTTCTGAATTGAAAACTACTCACTGTAGAAATAATATTTTTTTCTTTTGGAAAACACTCTGTGTGAATTTACAATCAAACATGTGCGAGCAAAAGCACCTTGACAATAAATTGTTGGCCTTTTATACATATGTGCCTCTTCATCTCACTCTCTTCCTTGATTTAATTTTTGGTTTGTCGTTGCCCACGTTTCGAGGGCTGCACGTGAATAGAAAATTTCTCACCATTCTGTTTCGCCCGATTTCACAATATATGTGTATAACATTTTTGCGGTTTACCTGTAAATTGCTTTTTTCTCTCTCTTATGTACAAAAAACCATACATATGATATATTTATTATAGAGGTAATTTAAAAATGTTTTATGCTTTTTGCAGCAACGCCAGGTTCGTGGTGCCATGTTTGCCAATAAGAATTTTCTTTTCAATAATTCACTTTCTTTCTCCTCCTTTACGTTTCGGTGGTTGAGCGTGTGTGTGTGTGATTAGTTTAAACATGGTTCATTTTATCACATTGAAATTGACAAACTCTTGGAGAAAATCCTCCTGGGAAATTGCTCGTGTTCTGTATGGATTTTCTCATGAGAGATCTTCTCTGAGGGGGTGTAATTAAGTGGGAGCCTTGTAATAAGGTTTTTCCTCCCTTTGCTCTCATTTTCTCATGAGCTTGAGGAGAAACTGTAAAATGTAAAATAACTCAGTGTTAATAGTCAGTAAAATGTCTCCTCTAAATGGTTGATTTTCACATTTTTCTCTGTCCACACTTAATAAAGTCTCTTCTGCATGTCTGCAAGTGCTTTTTTTATGGTGGAGCTGGAGGAAGAACAGTGGGTGTGTGGGAGTCTTTTATGGGATATTGGACACTTTGTTTGGAAAAGTATATCATTTGTGTATTGAATTCTTAAACTGACGTATTACATTTTTTACGAAATTCCATTTATAGAATGTTTATTCGCTGTTGATAGGCTGATATTTTCCAATATTGAAGCTATTTCTGGCCTATTTGCAAAATAAGTCAATAATTTGACTGGCTCTTATAAATAAGAGCGGTGGAAAATGAGGAATTGACTGAAAGTTGCGGCGGTTTATTGAACGCCCATCAGCGTTGAGGGCTGTTAAAGTTTAATATCCCATAAAGGATTTGTGATTTAGGATGCGACTGCTTGCATTCAGTGGTTAATGATGGCGAAAATTGAACTCAATGACATTACACTTGGCCTTAAAAAGTAATATTGATTTTCCTGCGCTAGAGGCACACTTGCATGATGAATTTCTTTAGACAGTGATATAGATCTGTTGGCCTGGAGGAAGAAGCATCACCTTTCCTTGATTCTATCTGTGTGCTGTGTGTGTGTTTGGTTTCATATTTGGCTTGAGCTTTTGAGCGTTTCGCTGATTTTTTTTCGTTTTCGCATTGGCAATTTAGGCAGCAGCAGCGGCAGCGGCGCCACTCCTCAAGACACCGCTCTCCACAACTCAGCAGGCCTACACGGCAGCGGCCACTTACACTGCTGTGGCGGCGAGAGCATATGGAGCAGCAGCAGCCGCCCAGCCTGTGGCTGGATACGCAACTGTGGCAGGGTGAGTGTCTGATCCCGACACCCAGACTCATCCTTTTTACCACTCGTGTCATTGCTCAACCGTAAATGCTCCTCCAACACACTCGTTGCAAGCATACATCATGTGGCCATATTTGCCACACTTGCAACAGTTGAGAAGTTCTTGTAATTTGTCCCTAGAGTATCATAATTATATTAAGTGGGTTAAAATGCAATTGATTCCAACTAATTTACTCTGACAGAAAACTTCCCTTTAAAGTGATTTTGCGTGGAACTTTCACATGCGACAGAGATACTTTTTCCCTTCGCTACAAGTTTGCTATATGAATTCTAAGAAATACCATCAATCGTCTGACCTCAAATTCCCATTAGCAAATCAATAAAGTCCCTATGTGAGCATTCAGCGATAAAATCACGAATATTGACCTCCAGTGGAAGTTCAATTAATCCGAAGCATCTCTGCACAGGAAATCTTCGTGATTGATCACCCCTATGAAGGGAAGCTCCAAGTTAATCCTCGCACGGAATAATTTGCCGAGAATTCTTTTGGCCTCAAGGTATAAGTGGGATGGGTTGACATTTCTTCAGATCTCCGCCTAATTAAATTCTCTGTCGCAATAATTCTCCTCCAAAGTGGTCGGTTTTTTCCTTGCCTCCTCGATGGAGCCCGCAAAACCCCTCCCAGAGGCCTTATTGTTTACGCCCGCGTTCACTGGTTGGGATGATGAGTCTCCTGAGGAATGTGGAAAATTTAGTGGTTGCAAAGCCAAGATGAGACACTGAAAGGAATATTCAATGTTCACTACGTCACTGTCTGAAGTCTCCAGGGCAGAATTAAAGTTTGGCGTGCTGGGAAATTAGGCTCGGAAAATCGAAGCTTTTTGAGCATTCCTACGTGGAAAGAAATATTCGATGGTACATTTGTGATCTCCTCTTTATGCAACCTAACATAATGTTCTGCAAAACGCCAAAAAAAGACATGCTGTTAAATGATTTTCATTTGATTATCTCATAACAATCGACCACAGTTATTTATATGTAATTTAAGTCTTCTTCAGAAGCAGAATTTCAAATCAAGTCTTAATCATTTCTAGTGCTATAGAATTATTCTCTGCACTGTAGAAGTCTAATTTTATTATCTAATCACAACTTTAAATGGGAATCACGTTCTGAATTTTCTTGTGAAGCTTTACAGTCGACAAAAGACCAAAACTGACGGAAAATTGATTATATATGCTTTGCAGGAAAAGTTCTTCCGGGATTTTGCTTCCATCCAACCTGTGTCCATGGCGCAAAATCCCTTCGCCATTGACTATATTTAATTACATTTCCATTAATGCCGTGGAGAGAATCTTTCTGGCACAATTAAATCCAAATTCATCTTGCCGGTTAAATTGAATTATAGCGAAATCGTCACGATAATTTTCCCGTGTTTTGCCTTTTCCTCATCCTGTTTCCTGGGTTTCCTGCCATGCTGGTGATGAGATGATGATTTTTGACGGATTTTTCACTGATGTTTAGGTATGGCCGTGAGTATGCTGATCCGTACATAAGCCATGGAATTGGACCTGTGCCCGGTTATGGGGTAAGATTGAGGGTGTTTTTTTCTATGTTTAATGGGTTATCTATGATTAATCTCTCTAGGTTTGATGGAATTTTCAGCGTGCAATTGTTTAATGTGAGGCTGTTTTGTCTTTACAGATGTACCGAAGTGGCTACAATCGCTTTGCTCCGTACTAATTCAAGCCAATGATGGAGAATGGAGGGAAATTCAGCGGATGGAGAAGGAGCGGAATAGCAAACCAAAAGTCTCTGAAAATGGTTTTATCCATGACATATAATTCATATATGACATTTTAATCTCAAAATATTTTAATTGCTACAAAAAAGAAAAGTGACAGGCACAAATGATGAAGCGAGAATGGAATATTGTATAAAATAAAAGCGAATGGGAATGTTGACAAGCGAGGGGTGAAAATTATTGAGAAATTACCATTTTTAGCAGCTGTAGATCTGATGATTACAAAGATAAATCTCTCTTAGCTGTGAAAGGATTTAAACCCACTTTATTTATACAATATTCTTTTCATTTTTAAGGAATCCATTCAATTTATAAAAATAAGTGTAAAAATCATTGAGGAAAGCAAGAAAGGATAAAAATTTTAGATTTAGGGAATTCAGTGTATTTGTAAAAGATAGTCATCTCTGAAGTTTTTTGTGGCAAAAATCTCTGCAATATGATTGTATCGATGAAGCAGCCAAAGCTCTATATATTTTTTTAGTCGCCAACGTGGCAGCTTTTCAATCTCAAAACGGATAATCTCCTTTTTTTTCGTAATTATTGAATCTTTCGCATTCGCTTGAAAGCCATTTGTAAATACTCAAATTCAGGTTTTATTTGTTAGGTAAAATCTCTCTCTAAGCGACAAGCTTTTGTCGAGTGAAAATCAATTGTTAAGACAGAGCACAAGAGTTTTTTTTTTAAGTTGTAAACAATGTATTTTAAGTGGGATTTTGTAACATTGAAAAGCACAAATTGTTTATGGAAATAATTATTTCACAAAAGAAATTTAAGAACAGAGAAACAGCACAAGAAAAATACCTCATTTTTCAATTATATTTGTCTATTAGTAAAGTTGAATTTGTGCTCTCTTATCAGACTTTTATATAGTTTACACCCTTATTTTTCAATTTATTTTTATTCAAGAAATTTATAATGATAATCTGAAGAGAAGAAATGTATTGTTACGACTGACGGGGTCTCAAGTGAACTTGGACGAACCAGAAAATTACGGGAGTTCTCCTCATCTTACGAGTCTTTTATTTTCCTTAAGGGAAGCTACACGTAGGGGTGCGCAGAATTTGCAATTTCTACAGATTAAATGGGGCTTTTTGCGAACCGCGTCTTTTGCTTCGGACTTTCCACTTTTATCGGTGATCAAAGTAGCTTGTATTGACTTTCTCTTCCAGCTTCTAAATCCATTGTGTTCATCGTTTTCTCTTTAATTTCAATTATCGAGAGAATTGCAATTTTATTGTCTTTTAAAGTTTTCTCAAATATGGCTTATTGGTGGGAGTTTATTTCTATTTTAACACGGAATTTCCCGGTCAAACGAAATGTTGAAGCTTCGCGTGCCCTTTTTAATGTGAAGACATTGTGGTTGATGGTTTCTCGCCAGCTATTGTCCATCTGAGTTGCTTCTCGCTGGTTTCGGTGCTGGGCTTTATATCCATACATACCTATCCACTACTCCGGCTTGTTCGTCTTTCTCCTCCTGCACCTGAGTTCTTTAGGGAACCGCCGAGCGTAACAGTATTGAAAATATTGCATATCTGAGCAAGAAAACCTATTAAGAGTAGTGAAGTATCTCACATTAAAAACTATTTGTAGTAAGTTCCCAAGTTAATCGATGATAAAAGTGAAAATGAGAAATTCAAAATAATGTGAACAAAGTGTGAAGATAGGCATGAAAAATACTGTGTAGTTATTTGTGTCCAAAAAACAAACAAACAGCTTCATTTGCTGAAGTCTTCCCAAGAGAAAAGTATGCAAAAAAAGAAGATTGCAAAAAATCCACTATATAAAAATATTTCTTCTGCCAAGCAAGAGCAAGATTCCTAAGTAATAAATAAATAGAATTCCTCTTTTTCCTCCACGAATAAAACAAAGGTATATTTACACCCCAAAATTGTTCAGTTCTTCTGTGAGGCGGTTAAAGTGACAAAAACACGGGGTGAATTTAAAGGATGAAAGTATAATAACCATTATAGTGATTAATAAAATGAGGATTTGTGAGATTGAAGCGCAAAACTATTTAAACATTGATATTCAATGTTCAAAATGAGTCTCTTTGCAAGAACATGATTTAAAGAAGAAGTAGAATTGATGAAAATAGTTTAAAGAAACCACAAATTTAAAGACTTTCTGGCTCTCTAAAATAGAAGAAAAGAAAAGAAAAAAAACTATGGGAAATTGAGGGAGAAAATCTTAGTTTTAAATGCTCAATTGTTCAATTAATCATCACAATATATTTCATATAATCTTAATATAAGAAATATTTTTAGGCGGATAAGTGAAGTGAGGAGCTCCCTTTTAAACAAAGTGGAGTAAATATGATATTAAGATGGAATATTTTTTAATGGTCGAGAAAAGAAGAGAAAAACTGAATGTGTAAAGGATACATTTTACAATGAGTAGGAGTAAAAGGAGTTGCAGAAGAGCGTCTTCAAAGCCATATTAAGGAAAAAAATACACTGAAGCTGAGGAGAGAAATGTATATTTTAGAGAACACACATTCAAAAAACTATAAATGAGAAAAATACTCAATTATTTTAAATTGATAAATGTAGCGTTAGATACGAAGGAAAAAAAATCCATTGAGATAGAAATTCACATGACCTTTTTAATGAACCAATTTGAATATTGACGTGGAAGGAGTAAAATTTTCAACTAAGACTTTAGTGAAGAACCATTTTAAAGGATAAATGAAATATACAACAATTTAAAAGATACATATACTCTGAGAAAGAACAACTTGACAAGATTATGAATACTAATTAGGATTTAGCTGTAGGACATATAATAAATTTAGAGTGACAAAAGCAGCATATATTAATCGATATCCAAAAAGAAAGAAAAAAAAGAAAAAAACAAAGTGAGAATCCTTTTCAATTAGTAGTGAGCTCAAATATTTATTTGACAAGATGTGTGGACGGAGATGACTTTCAATGAGATTTCCGGGGCTGCAGAAAAAAACAGGAATGTGTGCATTTCCGCCCGCAAGAGACTCATTTCGCCAAATATAGAGAGGAGATAGAACTCTTAAAGTACGTGAGAGGAAATATTTTAAGAGAATTACAAAATATCTTACTATATTGTTTTACTATTTTAATTAAATGTGACGCTATACTAGATTACAAGAAGAATACTTATAATGTTTTTGTAATAAAAAGTGTTACAAAATAGATTCTTGGTTGTTTTTCGACGACACGAAGGCTGCGAAGTGTATTTTTCTGTATTTGTACTTGAATTTAATTAGCTCTGAAGAAATCCTATGAACGGTGCATTTATCTTTTCGATGCTATGTGGCGCTGGCTGTCGTATCTGAGACACTCGCGGTAATTCACGCCCCAGAATCGGCTCACGTTCGTGCCGACTCGGCTAGCCTTCGCTCATCGATTCATCGACGATTTCTCAGAGTGTGGCGGAAGAAAAAAATTCGCAGAACGCCAGTATTTTGTTTTCTTTTTCGCCGTTCGGACGTCGCGGGAGTGTTTCACGCCCCGAAGTTGATGAGATTGAGTGGGCGCCCGAGGGCCCCCGTAGTGTAAGAGACCCCCTTGTGACGGGAAGTGTGTGAGAATCATGGGGAAACTGCTGAGTCTGCTCGCCCGGGACGATTCGACGTGCTGCACCACGAAATCCTACGATGTCTTCCTGGACTTTGAGAATGCTGCGCCCACGGATACGGAAAAGGAGGTGTACGACGAGGTGGAGCGCGTGCTGAAGGAGTCCGAGGCCGTGCTGGATGAGATTCAGGTGTACAAGGTTAGAGAGCTTCGAGTCTCCCCTGCTGAGAGTCTGTCCGGGAGTCGGTCATAACCTCACTTCGGGACTCCCGGACGGGCACCTGGACAGCCCACACCTCTTTACGTAATGCCACACTGACGCTGATCTCGCGCAAAGAGAGTTTATCTTATCAGTGTGTGTCAAGACGACATGAGATTAGTGCAAAAACAAGCTGAGAAATTGATTTCCTCAGAGTCTTAAGAGGAAAAGTACCTCCAAATGATGATCAAACGCTCAAAGTACGCTCAGGATATTGTCTTGGGTATTTCCTGAGATCTGGAGTCGCCTCAGGGATTTCAGCTTGAACTTCTATTGAATTTTTGCGATAAAGGAGATTCGCGCATCCCATACAAAAATATCGCAAGCGTTTAGCACTTGCGATAAAAAAACACCCTCAAGAAAGAGTGAGAAAAGCCTCGCGAAAAGCTCTTCAATTACTTGAATGAATAACTTTGTGGCTTCTTAAGAAGTCTGTTGAATCCACTTATGAGCTCTTTTGTGCCATAGATTTATTGCCATCATCAATTCACAGCATGGGCGTAGTTGAAAAGAGGCGAAGAAGGACAATTGTCTCCACTTGCACTGCAAATTGAATATTTTTCCTCGATATCACAAAAACTTTCTATGATGGATGATCATAAGTTTTCCCAATTGCTTAACATTGACTACGCTTATGATTTGCCGTCTTTGGAGGGCTTTTTAGATGGCAAAAATGCCAGTGTCGATAAAATTTATTCTCCCTTTGCGTCCACTTCCGGCCAAAATGACAATTTTATTGTGTTCTATTCAATATGATAGTAATTTGAATGTCGTTCTTCTATTATTTTTTACTTAACACTCTGTGAGATCATAAATCACGGATTGTTTGAATGTGTGAAGAGAGTTCATTGAATTGTTGAGTGTTCTTTGGCGAGCGCTGAAAAGAATAATTAACTCCAACAGAATGATTAGGTACAGATTCTATCCGTTCTGGAGATTTGGTTCTCTAAATAGCCCATGTTTTATGCTTCCTAAAGCCTCTTAATCACTTTTCTATGTGCAATTAAAGCCTTGCAATGCAATTTCTGACCACGCTTGGCGTTTTTTTTCTGCAAGATGTAAAGAGTTGGAAGGAAATTATTTGCATTTAATATGCTGATGTAAATTGAAATACACGCAAAAGGTTGTTGATTGAGAGTGAGAATCCCATTTGTGCCTCATTGCCAGAGTGTAGAACGCAAGAAAACAACACAAAAGGGGAGTTTATTTCCTCTGAAGAGAGCCTGAGATTCTCTGTATCAGCCGACAAGCCAGTGCAGAGTTATCAAAATCAGCCCACAGACACACAAAAGGTCCAACAATTAAATATATTTCATGAAGAGAATGAGAAAAAAAACGCCGAAGAGACCTTGAAATACTTTGAATGGAAAGATGTTTGTAGTGGAAGGCAATTTAATGGGCGCGATGTGGGAAGATTTGTGGGCTGCTGAATCACGTCTGGAGTGTCTCTAAATATCTCTTGGCTTAAGTAAAACAAACAGTGACGAGAGAGGCGGAAATTGGGGAGAATTGCCCCCAAATTGGCCGAAGCACGCAAGAAAAGCAGGTGCGAATTAAAGTTGATTCTGATCTCATTGGGAAGAGAGATGGAATTCCAATTGAAAAGGCATTTGAACAAAGGCGCACGAGAATGAAAAGCACCTGATTTGAGAGAGTGACTCAAGGATTTTTGCTCCACAAAGAGATCAACACGCTCTCAATTTGCTGCAATTGAAGTGATTTTGTCAATTTAACTTGCACGACGTCTTGCACTTTGACTTGTGTGCATTTTGCCTTTGTCATGGCGTTCACACGCACGCACTATTTAGATAAACAGAGAGAGAGAGAGAGAGAGAGAGCAGCGCAACAAATGTGGGTTCACTCATTTGCGCACCTCCTGATCTTGCAGTTGTTGCGAATGTTGGCCCCAAAAAAAGTCTTATCGCGCGAGTGTGGCTGAAAAACTCTCTTTCTCTGATAAATTCGAATAAAGGGAGAAAATATGTTTATATATCCGCACAGACTGTGAATAATGAAGTGACGCAATTGGCGAAAAGAGACACCAAACAGTCTCTGAAGACGCGTGTGCCATTCGAAAGTGGCGCACATTGTTCAATTATTAATTAAAATTCTTGAGTGATTGGGAATAGTAAACAAATGATTCATTCTAGAATGCTTTCGCATCAAATTTCTTCTAATGTTTTAGCTTTTATTTTGCATATGGATTTTTCTTATTTTTTTCTCTACATGATATAAATTTTCTTCACTAATATTATTTATGCTCATAAATTTTACATGATGAATCACTCTCTTTGGATAAAAATCAATTAACATTGAAATGATGTTTCTTCACAGTGAAGAGAGTTTAACGCATAATTTTGTTAGTCTGTCATGTTTGAAAAAGCATAGTGTGTTGTGTATATACAAATATTTGTTGCACTTAATTGAAAAATCATTGATTAATATGGTGGTTCTTTGAGTAATTATCGCATTACTAGTCAATTTACTGTGTTTTTATCCATACATGAATGGTCATTCATGTCACTGGCAAGAGAGAAGAAATTGAAACGATCTCCTCTCATGATCATATCACTGTCTTTTCCCTCACTTACTTTTCACACCTGAAGGTTTGTGTGTTGAAAGATAAAAATCAGCAATTTTGGAGTTTAATTGCAATATCCACTGCCTGCATTGGCAGCAATTTCCTCTCTGCATTCTTTCGCACAAATCAATTCCCGGAGCTCTGGAGATTGAATTAATTCTCTCTTCAATCTCATCCGACACTCAGTGTATGTTTCAATGATGTCATTTGCAAAGTCCAATAATAGAAATTCTCCCTCAGCTTGGCCGGAATGTAAATTGCAAACTTTCCCTTTCGGCTTCTCCCTCGCAATTTTTGCGTTGGTGTTCTCGCATTATTAAAATTCCACTCTGTTGATGGACCATAACAGCAAATCTGTGGCCAAAAAAGGCGGAATTGAGGCGAGAATCATCGGCGAAATCTTTTCGGAGAATCGGAACATTTTCTATTTTTATCGTTAGGCTATTCTTTCGCAACTGACTTGTCGAAGTTCTCTTTCTCTTTTCTCACCCGTCAGCAGAACTTCTGCGTTGATGTTTGTGGCATGGCATCGTGTTCAATGATATAATTCACACTTTATGACTTAATTTATTCATAAAATGCAAGAGCGTGAAAATTTTGTGCTTTTTGGTGTGTTCTTGATTAGATTGGATTTTTTTTTCTCATCCCAAAAGTTGAGAATTTTAAATGAACTTGGGAAATTGACCGCGATAAATTGCCAAGTAATTTGTTCCACAATTTTCTTTTATTTTTTTTATGTAACTTCATGATAAAATTGGATATCAAAATGTTTGAGCTGTGAAGGCTTTGTAGAATATTTTGCAGTTTGCCCAGTTAAATGAAATGGAATGTGTGCAGATGCGGTTGAGAGAATCCTCGTGAGATGGAGAGTCTGAAGAGTAAAATTGCGTGCTAAGCGCAGCGAGAAACTCTCTTAAATAGCAAATATAAATTAATAAGCACGGCCAACACACAATAACAGCTAATGTCGGTGGCAGAGTGAAAAAGGCCACGAAGGGAAGGAACTGGAGTGAGAAGATTATCGAATTAAAATGGTTGGTGGAAGTGCTCACAACTTCCGCTTCTTACTTCTCCTTCTTTAGCGTGGAAAGCTCAGTGTGTGATTCACGCTATGTGTTGTGTTGAGGGTGAGAAAGAGAGAGAGAGGGAGAGGGAGGGAGGGAGAGAGAGAGAAGCCGATGAAGAGGTGATGAATTTGATTAAAGTTTGAGCTGGAGATGCGATGCTCTCTTAAGACATGAGAAGGCGCTGAGAAATTCCCAAGATTCCTCAGATCGTGACTCCACATCTTTTCTTAAGTTTCTGTGACGCACCGAAGGCGACACAAAAAAGTCCCAGAATCTCTTTATGATCTAATCACGGATGGGGCGAGACTCTATTTTGGCTCATCTTTGTCTCACTGGTGTGTCCATAAAATGCCTCAAGAGTGGCGCGCATGAGTGTGAATAATGCAAAGGTCAAGACACGGAGAGTCTCAATGACTTTTGGGATGCTTTTATCATATTGCCTTTCTTCGTTTGCCGCTCGCGAAATGTAAGAAAAAAAGAAGAAGAAGCTGTACAGAACGCACGGAAAGGAAGTTGTGAGGCCAATTTTCAGTCACATGTTGACCACATTTTGTTTTGATGTCTGAGCCAGCGATGAGAGTGGAATTCCGCTGAAATGAGGGTTCCATCAAATGGAAATTGGATTAAGAGTGAGAGAAGTAAAGAGAAGAGAAGAACATAAAGTTCAATAAATTGGCTGCAGAGAAAATACACATATATGTAAAACCAGAAGAAGAGACCACGTGAAAATGCGCCAAGTGATGAAAATTTCTAAATATTTACAAACACCGCATGTGAGCAAGAACATAACATTTTCACTGAATCATGAAGTTGCGAGGCTGCGGCACGTTCCATTAGAAAGTATTATGATTGCCATAAATTCACTTGTATGGTGAGTGAATTGGTGGATAAAATTTTATCAATAAACCACACTGAGTGTTGTGATTCAATGAAGTCGAATAATAGTGAGGGTAAAAAACGACTGACTTCCTGGTCAAGCGATGAAATGACCCTCTCTTGGCGGTGAAGTCATCAAGTCAATGAATGATAATGAATTTGTCCCTCAAAGCTCTCTTTTTTCTCTTTCACGTGTGTGTATTTTTTAGGGCGCCGGCAAGGAGATCCGCGAGGCGATCGCTGATCCTTCGCCGCAGTGTCAGGAGAAGGCGTGGAACGCCGTGCTGCCGCTGGTGATAAAGCTGAAGAGGTGCTACGAGCACTCGCTGGAGTTGGAGAGGATCGTGCCGAAGTTGCTGGGTCAGCTGGTGGGCGGTCGCTTGAATCCCACACAACACCTGGAGACGCAACAGGCGCTGGTGAAGCAACTCGCGGAGATTCTTGAGTTTGTCCTGAAATTCGATGAGTACAAGGTTCTGAAATGATCTTTGAACATTGCGCTAGATTAGCTCCAAACTTATCTATGTCCTTTCACTTGATTCGGCAGATGAAAACGCCCGCGATCCAGAATGACTTCAGCTACTACAGGCGCACAGTGAGTCGACAGAGGATTGATAACACTAGTCAGATGCTGGTGAGCACAGAGCTGGCCAATCGCATGTCACTCTTCTATGCACATGCCACACCGATGCTGAAGGTGCTCAGCGAGGCCACGTCCAAGTTCGTGCGTGACAACGCAGACGACGTGGACAACACGACCGAGACGCTGGGAACGATGGCCAAAGTATGCCTTCGGATGCTGGAGAATCCGTGAGTTGCTCAGTGTTTTTCGTGATTTGCAGTCTGACTCACGATCGTGCCCTTTGCAGGAAGCTCTTGTCACAGATCGAGAGGGAGGAGACGCACTTACTGGTGCTGCGAGTGATGGTGGGTCTCGTGATTCTGTACGATCACGTGCACCCTGTGGGTGCGTTCGCACGTGGCGCGCATGTGGATGTGAAGGGGTGCGTGCGGCTGCTTCAGGCTCAGCCGGCCATCAAGGCTGAGCCTCTGCTCAATGCGCTGCGCTACACGACGAAGCACCTCAATGAGGACAACACGCCCAAGAACATCCGAAACTTGCTGGCCGCCTGAGCGCCCCGTTTTCCCGCCCCCTCGGATTCCACCTTCGCGCCCCGCGTAGTCAATCGTTTGTCCTGCCTCTGTCTTCGTCTTGGACTGTTCAGTTCCCCTTTATGGCTTTGCGGGAGGCACGCAAGGAGTGCGTATTAGTGAAAATATGTTTAAGGGTCAAGTGAGAGGATTAAGATTAAATTAAATTACAAACTTCTATATAGGTAATTGTGCATTTGAGAGGTGAGAAAGAGAGAAAGCTGTAGCAAAAGTGAGCGAAATTTGTTAATAATCTATTGAATATTGTAAGTTTTTTCTGTCTATAAAAAAGTCGTAAAAAGAAGTATTTTGATGAAGAATGACACTCTCGAGAGAAATGTTATCAAGAATGTCTGCAATTCTTTTCATCTTTCTCTTTACCACCTTTTTGTCTTCTGTGCAAATGCAAATCGAGAGTATTTTTCCAAAAAAAAAAAGAAAATAAATGGGAAGAAAACCCTTTATATGTAAGTAAATTATAGCTGAAAACCAATGTAAAGCGAAAAAAATCGAGAAAATTAAGCTTTTTGTCACATATTTAGCAAAGAGAATCACAAATTACTATCGAAAATCCCTTTTTGAGCTCAATCATTTTAGCAGTGATGAGGAAATGTTATTGGAAAATGTATGATTTGTCTTAGTTTTTAAGGAAGAGGAGTTTCATCACAAATTTGACGAGTATTTCTGATATTTTTTCGTGTGAACATAAACAGACCATCTTTATATACTAAAGAGAACCACTAATGCAAATAAATTAAGTCAATCTTTAATGATTTTCCGATTTTTCTATGGTTTGCCTTTGAAACGACGATGACGAGGATAGAAAATTTCCCCTCCCGAGAAACACTTCAAGTACACATCATCATCGATGATTCTTGTCAGTTGCAGTCGAACGCTCGAAGAAGAAAGTTGTTTACATCGGCACAGCTCAAGGAAGAATACGGATATTTTCAGTTTTTTCTCGTATCTTCGTAAAAGTGTGATTCGAAATATGATAAACACTCACTGGAGTATCATTTAGATGTGAAGTTCTTTATAAAAGTGTCAAAATAGCCGTAGAAAAGTGATTTCTTTCCACTATTGGCACAATGGTGAGCAATTGAGGTTATGCTGAGAGGCCGGAAAGAAAATCGCTTGTTTCTCTAAATTTTCAGGTATTCTTGAAGACAAACATGGATACACAGAAGACGACGAGCAAGACGAGTCTCCTGAACAGGATGCTGATGAAGGCGTGGCGCGAGAGATGGACAGATTGTCAGTGGGGCATCAACATCAAAACGGTGAGTTAAAGCTCCTTTTTGGGGATGTTCTCTGTCTTGGCAAACGCTCTGATGATCTCCAACTGCGTCTTGGTTAGTCGTCGAGGGATCACCACGATCACAGTGACGAAATGGTCGCCCGTTTCAGTGCCAGAGACACTCTTCCGGATGCCACGTCCGGGAAGCTTCAAGACAGTGTGACTCTGAATCCCGGCCGGAATTCTCAGTCTGTGATCAGCATAGATACCCCTAATCGGAATATTGTCTCCTAGGAGGGCTTGAGAGAGGGAAATTTCAATGCTGCTGTGGATATTGTGACCCTCCTGGCGATATTCCGGGCTGGCATTCACGGAGAAAGAGATTCTCAAGGTTTTCGTGGGATCCAGAGGACTGGGAATGTCAACAGTCTGTCCACTTTTCAAATTCTCAGGCGTTGTGATCTTCACATTCTTCTGAACAATGGTTTTTCCACTTCCCCCGCAACATTTGCACTTCTCTTGGGCACTTTTAGCCCTACGAAGACCTTCACAGGCTCTACAAACAGCCTCCAGATTGAGTTTAATGGTCTGAGGTCCTCCTCGGATGGCTTGTATGGTTGTCAGCGATGCCTCGGTTTTCTCAATGACGTTCTTCTGCTTCAGGAGGTCTTTGAAGTAGTCATTCGTAGAGATGTTCTTTCCTACATCCTGAATTTGCTTGGTGATTGCGCCAAATTTATCGTAAATCTTCCTATTCCTGACGTCGCTGAGTATCTGATAGGCTTCAGCGATGTCCTGGAAGTGCTTCTTGGCCTCGGGACTGGATCCTTTGGTGTCCGGATGGAACATTTTAGCAAGCTTGATGTAGGCCGCTTTGATGTCTCTGTTGCTTGCGTGAGCATCAATTCCCAGGATTTTGTAGTAGTTTTTTTGCGGAATTCGAGTACACTTGGAAGTTGTGGACATTGAGTAAAATTTGGAAGCGTTTATCGTGGATTTTGATAAAGTCTTCCAGAAGTTGACGGATTTGTTCATTGTGATTGTTTATGCATGGGTGACTGATTTCAAAATACTATTTCATGAGTGTCTGATTCTATAATAACTGTAAATGGATCATTAAATAACACTTAAGAGGATTATTGCAAGATGAGAATTTGAACGTTCATTCAAATCATTCTCTAGTTTAGATCTCTTCTCGATTAGAAAGTTCAGAATTAGGTTGATATTGAATCTTCCATTTGCTTAAACTGAGACATTATAACGATGCACGTGGAAACGAATGAAATAATCTGTAAAGAAGTTTAATGACAATTACCAATGATGAATATGAAAGAGTATTTAGCTAGGATTTACCTGAAATACTCCCGAGTTATTGACTTGAATGGGTCCTGATTTGATGCCTGTTTCACAGTGAAATCGCCACAATTGCAATTGTTGCTTACCAAAGTCATGTATGTCTTGACGTTCCTCATCAATCGAGTATACCAAATTGCTGATTCTCCGTAAAATACTTGAAATCTAAATGAAAATTGATAATTGATCATTGCATTGAGATTACGATCTTGAGTTTTCTTACTGTTCCTGCAAGTTTGGTTCCTTGGAAAGTTAAGCAAGTAATTTGAATCACATGCAGAATTCGCCACATGCAAGAAGCTGCAATTATTTGGATTTCGGCAAGCGATAAGCTCTGATTTAGCAATATGATGATGTTGTAGTACATCGCACTACAGTCTATAAGAATGCGTTTGCACATAATAATGAATAGCATTTGTCCGAGGGTTGTATTGATGAGTGGTAGGATTTTGAAGAAATCAATAGTCAAAGACATGAATTTTGAGCTTTCTTGTTGCAAGAGAATTTTTGCAAAGGCATTCATTTCCTCCATGCAAATGATGTAATACAAAATTGTTGAAGTATCAGCAGTTATAATAAGTGTGTAGAGTAATTGTGAAATGACTAATTTCACATCGTGATCCTTAAATGCGAGTGTTACATAGAGAATGGAGCAAAACCAAATGTAAAATACAGACACAATAATTGTTGTATTTCGAAATACTTTGCAATTAGAGGTATTTCTATTGTTGAATTTAAGGTTTTTCTTTTCGAATTTCATGATGCGTTCTATGAGTAGCAAATGTTTGCTATTGGTTCTGATATTGCTAATGATTAGGATGATGAAAGAGCATCTGGTGACGAAGAAACTCATGTCTTCGAGGAAATTGAACATGAATGTTAGTTTATCGGTGAAGAGAATTGGTGAGAAGTCTTTGATGAAGATTTGATTAATCAAGTCCGTGCATGCTTGATAAAATTGCACAACTATAAAGAGACTGCGGTATATTGTAGGTCTTCTGGTTTCACTATAATTGGGGATTGATATGAATTTTTGTATTTCGAATAGCCAACCGAGTCGATCGACGAATGACATTGTGACTGAAGCGATTTCTAGAAGAGCGTTTATGATTTTTATCGAAAAATGAATGCTTTTAAGTTGATTAGTTTGATTGATAGCACACTTTTGCTTTTCCATTTGCAGGTTCTGCCGCGAGGAGTGAGCGGAGATGTTTACAACCTGGCGGATTGCATTCTGCAGCAAGCTGTTGTTGGTTCAGGAGCCAACCAACTTGTCTTGTCGTACTTGCGACACTCTCTGTGCTCTCATCTCGTCTCCCACGCGGCTGTGCTGAAGCGCATCTCGAAGTACGACGGCTTGGATAAGCCTCACTGCATTTTTGCGCTGCTGGAGTTCCTGGAGTCCATCATCAGCGGAGTGACTTGTCGCGGGAAGACCGAGGAGACGATGATTGTCAACTCTGTGACGTCTGTCGTGCTGTGGTTGATGCAAGTCTACGCGACGGCTGCCAGAATGCCTTCCGGTGAGGTGTCGGGCTTTGACTGGAGCAGCATCACGAAGAGAGTGTCAAGTGTGATGGAGAGCATCGTCCAGAGTCAATTCCTGATGGGCATTCTGTATCTGGGCAAGCAGGAGGATGCTGAATTGTTTGGCAAAATTGGGAAGAAGTATCAGGAGATTGTCAGCATGAGTGGTGTGAAGAATTCGGGGATTGAGGAGGCGCTCAAGAAGGTGACTTTCATTGAATTGAATCAGCTGGAGATGATAGAAATGGAGCCCAAAGGCGTGGAAGCCATCACATATTGTCTGCAGCCTTTGCTGGCTGTTGAGGTTCTTCTGAATCCCAGCTCAGACACGCAAATCTATGTGAATCAACTGCTGATGATTCAGCGCCTGAAAGGATATTCTGCGCCAAGGCTGTATTGCGAGCTCATCAGGGCGTGTCTGATCTCGCTGAACAACGTGAGTGGCCCGAACAGGGAGTCGATGTGGTGTGCTTTCACATTCATCAAAGTGCCGCACATCTTGAAGCAATTGAATGCACTGAGCAAGGATTACGACGAGAAGCTGGACTACTCACCGGACGTGATTGAGGCACTGGAGATGTTGCTGGAAGATGCGCCTGTGCTGGACTTTATGGACACGAAGTGTGTTTGCAACACAATTGAGTGCTTCATGACGGAATTGCTGAAGCAGCATCTCGTGACGGAGAAGCAGATCGGCATGTTTTCCGCGCGTCGCGAGAGCATCACGAGTAGCTTGCAGAAGTTGGAGATCAACAATCAACAGCCGTCGATTGTGAAATTCGTGCTGAGGGCAGAACCACCGTTGGCGGGGATTCTGAAGACTCTCAGCACGGATTACAACAAAGTCCAGGAGGCGCTGCTGAGTATGCTGTGTCAGGTGCTGTCGGGCAACAGCTTTGAGCTGATCTTATCCGTGGCCACGGTCGAGGGGAAGCTGAAGACTTTCGTTTCGCGCCTGATCAAGTGCAACGAGTGCTCAAAACAGGTGCCAGGAGAAACGGGCAAGGCCGCTCTCACGCGCGCAGCTCTCTTTGACGTGTCCTTCCTGATGCTGACCTTCATTGTGCAGACGTTCGGCTCGGATGTCGTGCTGGACGAGGGCGGGGACAGCTTCTTCGAGAAGTGGGTGCGAGAGTGCATGGTGGAGAGGAACAAGTGCAAACCGCCCATGGCGATGGTGCAACAGTGCGATCAGGTGAAGGTGGACGAACTCCTGCTGCACCTGCACTCCCCGGACTCCTACAAGGTGCCGCAACTGAAGTGGCACGAAGTGTGCAACAATATCCCGGGAGTTCTCTATCACGTGCTGCTCGCCTGGGAGAACGGACAATCGCCCACTGACGTGAAGAACATCCTGGACAACATGAAGGTGAGTTCTCTATTTATTTACTCATGACCAAAGCATTCGAAATTGAGTGTGTAGTCATAGGAGTTGTACAGAGTCACTAGCAGGACAAGGTGGGTTTCACCAACGCCTCCTGCGGCGACGTGTGCTGAAGCCCCTCCGGAAGAGTTCTGTGTCTGGTTGAGATGCAAATTGCACTGCGTGATTCTGTAGTTCTTGCTGGCGACACACGGAACATCAATGACGGATGTCTTGGGATTTAGATAGGGATGCGTCATGTCCCTTTGATACTGGCAAGTAATCTCATCGCTGGGTCCCTTTTCACCAAGTTGAATGCGGTAATTGCTGGGAATGCGTTGATAATCAAACTTTCTGCCATTTGCCTGGCTATCTGAAGGCACGACGAATTGTGCTGCGCAGATTAACAAAAGTACCACTGAGAAATTCATTGTGCTTTTAAGTTAATGACTGTGGGAAATTCATCAGCTTCAGCTGCTTTTATATGTTGTGATATTGAAAAATGGCCCTTAATGAGATAAGAAAAGATGAAACATTGACCTGAATTTTCGCATCAAGATAGTAAGCAAGAGATCAAGGTGTCAAATCATTTTATGATCAAAATTAGGTGTTTTAGAAATAGTTGTTTAAGAAAAATATGAAATATTGATATTTGTTTAAAGTTTCTTTAATATAAAAATGCCAGAATTGATACTATCAATTAAATATTCTTAATGCAAATTTTGTACATCTGAGATTTCATAATATTGTAGTTAATTTACATTAGCACATTATCAATATAGATCTGGGTCAGATTAAGCTGTTGCTTATGCTCTTTATGTTCAAAGATAAGAAAGATAAATGTCAGGCCAATTCAAGAGATTCAGGATTTCTGGTTGTCACATGAAATTATATAACTAAGAAAGTCTCTTTATTGACCGAAGAAAGAGCATAATTTTGTTAAAAACAATTTTTAGACCTTCTATCAAGTTTTATAAAGTAATTTCCATTCTGAACTTGTGTTTTTCTTTCCTCTTTGCAGGTGAAGCTCTGCGCCTATTCCGTGTGTGCCGCATCCTGGCTCTGCTCCTATCTGCAGATCGTGTGCGCCGATGATCTGCTGAAGCCCATGAATATGGTGCAGCAATTCCTCACGGCGATCGCGCCTGAGGAGATGGCGCAGCAGGAGAACTTCAAGGAGCGCCTCGGATTGACATTCCAGATCATCAGGAAGATGCAGCACGATTTCCATCCGGCGGGAAATGCCAAGATGCGCATGATGCTGACGCACAATCTCGTGTCCTCGAGTCCGCTGGCTGAGAACTTCGGCGAGGTGTGGAAGAGTGTGCAGGAGAGAGGCTGGCTGCCCGTGGACGCCGCTCAAACGCTGGAGAGTCTGATGCAGTCATGTGGGCCGCTGTGGCTCGTGACCAAACTCGTGCAGGAGATCTTCGCGTGTCGCCACATCAGCGACATGCTGCGCGTGATGGACATCGCCTTTGCCATCATGCATCTGGACATTGAGCAGTGCACTGTAGCTCTGCTGGAGGATTTGTTGCCCATGTTGCTGCTCAATAAGCTACAGTGTGTGGAACTCATGGAGCCACACTCGAGCGTCGTGGCGCGTCTCTGCGTCTGTGCAATCCTGGCAACACTCGAGACGCCCGGGAGGATGAAGAAGAAGCGCTCCAGGACAGACCAGGAGGACATCGAGACACTCTGTCCGCCGCCCAAAGTGAGGAAACTCAATCCGGACCTCACGGCTGGTGATTCGTGCTCGAGCGACATGCCGACTGAGAATTTGATCAACCGCGAACCGCCCGCCACTGTGCCAGAGCCGCTGGCGGGCTGTTTTCAGAGTCTGCTGAAGATGTTTGCCACTTTTGTGACGACGGACGAGTTTTCGCCCAAGGTGCATTTCATCTTTCACTTCCTCGTGCTTCTCGTGCAGTGCGGCCGCGACAGAGTGAAACCATTGCTGCGCCTGTTGCCGCCAGGATTCGTGCAGAATCTCCTGAAGATCATCGTCACGGATGACTTCACTCCAGGACTGATTCTTCGTCTGTACGATTTGCAAGCATCACGACAAGGAGCAGTGACGGATTTGTGTCTTCTGAGGAACATTCAGTTGCGCAAGGAGAGCATCAGACTCTGAACGAGTGTTTTTAACTTATTTATAGATAGAGATTAAGGACAATTCTACTGCTATAGAAAATGATTTATTTCCGGATAAATAATGATTAGTAAAAATGCATTATATGTCTTACTGGGCGTCTTAATAAACCCCTTTTTTGTTTCTTTAGAGAGAAAGAGAATAAATCTAAGCAAATACTATATAGATACTTGTGTTGGATATTTTAGTTGAAGAGCGCCTGCTCTTGCTTGTACACCGCGTGATAAGCGTTACGGATGAGCACGTACGGGAAGCACGACTCGAGAAGATCCATGGTGAGGAAGGGCGACTCCTTGACGATCTGATCGAGAAGCAGATAAACGGACTCACGATTGCGCGTCGCCTCCTTGTCGGACTCCTGCCCGAGGCGCAACAGCGACGAGCTGGCCAGCGCCAGAAACTCCTTCATGCGATCCTCAATGTCATTCTGGCCACAGATTGTGAACATGGCGCCGAAGATGTTGTTCACGGCCAACGCCATGCAGTGTGTGTTGTTGGCGTGCGCTTCGAGACTGGCGCGATAGAAGGAATTGTCATTCCTGGCCAACTTGGGAATGCTCACGGCCACAAAGACCATCAGAAGACATGCGATCAGGTGTTCTCCATCGTCAACCTCGGGTTTCTGCGAGCGCAGCGCTGACGCAAGTGTGGGATCTACTTTGCACGTGAGGCCAGCGGCTGAAGCCATCTCAGAGACCACCTTAATCGGATCGCCACCCGGAAGATGTTCCTGGAGCATAAATCATAATTATATTCAATTATCCAGCACTTTAAGGACGTTGTCATACCTGAAAATCCTTAACACTGCTCACGAGGAATGGAATCCTCTGCTGAAGAGTGTCCAAGAGTGCCTCCTGTGCCAATTGCCTGAAACTCAGGATCACACCAATAATGGTCATCCTCTGGAGAACATTATCCACTTGCTGAAGCCTCTTGAATTGCTCTTTCATCACTTCCGGCTTGTCGAAACTCGTCCTGAGCAAGCTGAGTGTGTCCTTGTTCATCAACACCATCCTCTTGAGCTCCTGCACTTGATTGGCAATGTGCCACATCAGCGTCTCATTCAGCAACTTAATCCCATAAGGACCAATCAATTCCGCCAGCGCTCGCAGCTCATTGACATCACTGAACTCCTCCGGATTGAAGGGGATGCAGCCCTCGGGCGTAATGCTGACGAACGCCCTCTGATTCACCGAGAACACAATATTTCCCCCCGACACACGCCTCAGCAGAACATCAGAGTACCAAGTGTTGTACAGCGTGGCCACAGTCTTCTCCCCATGACTGTCATTCGCTTGCGTCTGCTGCAGAAGGCAGTTGTTGAACACCCGCGTGATGTCGATGTGCACATAATTCTCAACAGTCTGCAACACATTCATGTACGCACGCACGGAGGCCAGCAATTCGCTGGGCTTGGCAATCTCCATTGTGTCCTGATTGTACATCACCATGCCGACGAGTGCGCGCGAGAAGCGATTCTCCAGATGCTGGCAAAGGTACTCGCGCGGCGCAAATGCATATTCCCACACATTCACGGTGGGACAGTAGTTGATGGCGAAGCAGAGCTCAGTGAGCGCCATGTGGAGTTTGTCCATCGTCGTGAGATCCTCGCGCGTGCGACGGTGTGATTCGTCGCCTGGCTTGCGAATGTCGTCCATTTGCTTCTTCACCTGCAAAGATTCAATTTCAATGAATTTCTGTAAAACTTCGCATCCATCTCAAAACACTCACCTTGTCCTTCTTCTTGCGACTGGCGGACGCCGAGAGGATCTTGGCGCAGTGCTTGGGCAGCAGCGAGTCCGCCATGGTGCACTGCTCATCGCAGATCGTCGTGATGATGTTCTTCGCCTCCTTGGCCATCTCATCGAGAAACATGTTCACCACGCTCAGCGAGCGCTCGCGAATGTGATGCCTCTCCTCTGGGCACATTTCGTGCGTGCAGTTCTGGAAGTGGCTGCAGATCAGCGGAAAAGCGATTATGTAGCGATTCTGTGCCGGAAATTCCAGACACATGTGAAACTGATCCTCAAACATCTTGCTGTAGAAGCAGAAGATGGACAAATCTGACGTCTCCACCAGAATCTCATCCAGATTGTCCACCATCTTCGTGTGGAAGACCATCGAATCGAGGAGATTGGCAAGACCCACAAAGTCCATAATCCTTATGGCCGACTTGGCCACACTCATGTACGTCTGCAGACGGAACCAGTCTAGTCGAAAGGCCCGGAAATCAAAGGTCTCGTTTTCCTCGACTTGCTTCACACTCAAACTCGATGACGTGTTGTACAGCGAAGAGATAATGAGACTCTCCTCTTCCGGACACATTTGCAAGTTCTGCATCTTGAGATTGAGGTCAATTGAGTCGTAGCCCGAGAGGTATTGCACGTAGAATCTCTGCATGACTTGGCTGTACTTCCTCACCAGCGCTCGCAATTCCTCCATGTGGAACAGAAGCTCGGGCAGTTGTCTGTCCACGAGATCTTCTGTCGCCTTTCCCTTGCCCTTCATGATCGGCGGATTGTCGTTGTGACGCAGGAGCCACAAAACTTCGTCCCTGGCGAAGGACAACCCGATGAAGATCAGCAGCGCTTTAGGGCCTAACAGACCAGGCTGATCTGTCAGGATCAGAGCCAATTCCTTGAGTGCCGTTCTGAGGTACTTTCTGCGCTCGCGATGGACGAACGAAGCCTTCTGGATTGCCTGATTATAGCACTCCTTAACCTCGGAGATGCGCTTGTTGTAGCCTTTCAGCCCATCGAAGCCCGACTGGATGTACTGATGGATGTGGATGACTTCATCGCGGAACAGAGCGATCACCCAACTGCTCTCCAGCGCCGCCATCCAGATCTGCATGATTGGCTGCGTGTTTCCCAGCAGCTGATGATTCAGCATCAACCCGAAGATTATCCAGCGATCCATGGTTTCCAGCGGCACATATTCGCAGGACATTGTGTCCGTTTTCGATGGTTTTAGCAGCATCGCCGGATTGCCTACGAGACTCAGCGTCTGCATCTCGCGCCACTTCTCCACAGGCAAGTTCCGCATGGGATAAACCTGGAAAACAAGACACAGGCGGTTAAGAAGAGCAGCAGCGCATAATTAGCCACGCTGACTGACCTTAGTGAGCGAAATGAGCGCCGCTGAGAGGAGTCTGTGATGCGGAATGAATTCCTCTGAGAGCTTCTTGATCGGCACGTCGTATTCAATGATCATCTGACCGAGACGCGGGAAGCTGGCGTCGCTGCTGTTGTTCTGCATCTCGTAAGCGGCATTGAAGAGCCCCAGGACCGCCTTCCTGTCCTCCACGCGCGACAGCAGGATCATCAGTGACACGTACGTGGTCACGAGATCCAGATAGTTGCGCGTGAGCTCGAAGTTCACCGTGAGATCCAAATGGATCTGACAGGCGTCCATCGTGGTCAGCAACTCGCACACATGATCCTTGAAGTCCAGCAGGTCTACAAAGGTGTAGTAGTACAGCGAGAGGCTCTTAATGACCTCCGCCTTGATGTTTGTGATCGCCTGCAAGCCCTTGACATCGATATTCGGGAAGCGCTTCACGATGAACTTGATTGAGGATTCCAAGGATTTGTCCGAGAGGAAGCCAGGCTTTGACTTTGTGTCCCCGCAAGCCTTCTTGATGTTGTAGATCCTCGTGAGAATGCCCACACCACGGTCATTGAGGATTATCAGCTTCTCAGTGATCTTCTGATGATTCGGATTCAATTGTCTGGCCATCATTTCCGGACGGACGCGCCCTTCCGGCACACTTCACGCGTTCCACAGCTAGAAAAACTCCACTAAACACTCAATTTTTCCTTGCAACACACTGTTCACGCCAGGAACTGCACTCACGAGCGCCTCAGAGCCCTGAAATAGTGGAAAATTGAGCAAAATATGAGAAAACCGAGAAAACTCAAAGGAAATGTCAAGTTGTTTACAAAACTGAAAATTTACGAAAATCATATAAATACTACTCAAATCTTAAGCATTTTTACACTAAACCACACAAGAACACAAGCGTTATCAATTAAACTCACTTTTCTGGCATTAAATTGGCTTTTTCCGAGGAAAAATGCGCAAAATACGTGATTCACTTCCAGTGAAACAAGTAAATAGCTTTTTGAGGAGACGTCACTGGGAAACCATTCAACGGCACCGCGTGATGGCGGCAAGTTTAAAAAACATAGAACTTTCGCGCCGAAGGGAAAATCATGAAAAAAGTGTTTTTCACCTGCGACAGTACAATTGATACAACCTTCATTATCAAGTACAAAACCAAAGAATCTAGAGAATTACATTTATTGTATAATTTCATATTATTCCAGTAACTTAATCTATGAAATTGTCTTGAATTTTCCTTCAAGTTGCGATTTGAGCAATTCGCGTGGCAATTTTATATCCGACGGTGAGCTTCTCTCATCCAGAAAAGGCAAAATTCGGTCGATAAAATTTATAATAATGCGTCTTTTACTTGGTCTTTCAGGTCTTTTACCTACTGCAAAACATTTTAGCATTGAACAGTTCTTGGTGACAATACTTGAGTCAGTCTCTCTTTAATGAAATTGAGTCTGTTATCTTCGATGTCTTCGATAAGGCTCGAGGGGCTCGAGTAGCTTCCGATCTGAAAAAAGGCAGTCATCATTTAGCGTCTAAATGGATACTTTTGAGCTGAATTCTTCAGTCTCTCTGCGTCGCTTCATCAGATTAATCTGATTAATGCTGATACAATTTTCCAATTTAAAGTTCGGGTTCAAAAATTGCATCCAAAAAAGAAATGAGTTCCCAATTTGAGAGGCCGGAAAGTAAAATCGCGCTCACCATCAGATTACGATTCTAAAGTGCGAAGGCGGAGCGGAAAAGGGATGTTCGCGATTGCTATCAAAGTGTTAATGATGAAGGTGTGAGGGATTTCATAAATGATTTCCAGCGCGTGAAAGAGAGAGGGAAATTATTAAAATGTTCCCATTGATGATATAATTCACTTTTCACTGCCTGTGCAGCTGCCACAGGGGCGCGCCTCAAACCCTAAAGACTCCCCGGAGGAATTTTAGAGAGTTCTCGAGGGGAAAATCAATATGCATCCACTTAGACGTACACGAAACATCTCCAAGAAACGCGTGTTAGTAAGATGGGGAGCTGCGAAAATTGTTCATTTCATGGGTGATAATTTGATGAATGAACTTTCAATGACGATTGATTTTGCTGCGACTTCCTTAGCCATGTTGTCAGGCGAATGAACTCCTAGAATGAGAAATTCCCTTATGAAAACACTCAGCGAAATTATCAGCTGCTAATCCAATTAAAAGTCGATCATTTTCCCCATTATTTTTCCATGAGGGAAGAAAACATGCGAGAGGAAAGACAAACAGTCGGAAAGACATTGATGACTTCCTCTGCTCAGCATCCTGGGAAGTTTATTGGGGAAGGATTAGTGGGGCTGAAGACGATTTACGAGCGCCGAGGGAGGGTTGAATTTCTCTCAAATTGAGAGTGAATTTGCGTAAGGCGAGGAAAGTAATTTATTTAAAATTTCACTCCCTCGCGAGAGCCCATTCTTCAGTGTGTTGTCAAATTCATTGAGGGATGAATTTGATATGTTCTCTTATCTCTCTTGTCCCTCTCGCAGTCGGAAAATGAAAAATATAAACGGAGAGGCGATGGAGATAGACAAGAAAATGAAGAGGGAAACATACACGTTGAGGCTTCAACCCTCTTCTTTTACATTTATTCTGCATATCCACCCCCGTTTCCCATTTTCTGCACTTTCATCCCTCCCTTTCATTCCCTTTCGTTATTTTGGCATCTCCGAAAATCCGCTACACGCATTTTCTACCGCCATTCAGACCAGATATTGAAGAAGTATAAAAACACACATAACTAAACGTGTGTATGAAATATATGTCGCTTTTCAGATTACATTCAATTTTCTCCTATACAATATAGTTAGAATATACGATATCCTTTCTGAACGTGGATCGATCTTTCCATGGATCTTTCTTCTCTCAATTCCATTTTAGTACAAGTGGTGAGTTTCCTGTGGGATCAAAAACTTCATCGTAGTGAAAACTGACAAAGTCAGAACAGCATCCTCTACAGATTCGGCCAGCAGACAGATTCTGCAATTTACGCTGAATCTGCCTCATAGTATATGTTTGTCTTCTATTCTTTAATTGAGCAACACCGATTGTTCGTCCGCAACCAACTGGTAAGCTATCCAATTTCCTGAAATCGAGTCAAAGTGTGTTTAATCAACACTGCGTCATCAGAAAGATGTCGCCCGGTCCGAAGATTTGTTGAGTGCCTTGTTGATCGGTACCCAACTTTTCAATACTTCCAATAGCTCAAAATCATTCAAAACTAGTATCTGAATTTGAATGCTAACAATAGAATGAGAAATAATTCAAAGCCGAACAGAAACATGACAGGAATTCTGCTCACTTTTCCTTTGAGTGTTGCATTGAATATTTTACAGCAGAGTTCTGGGTAAATTATAGTCATTCTGCGTCTCTGCCTTCGCCCTTCGCCCCCTTGCGAGAGCTACCCTTAGTGGCGGGCTTGGCTGTGTGCGTGCACCCGCCCCCCTTCTTCGCCATGGCCATGATTCACCAGGCAGGCCGAGAGACGTCTGGCGCCGCGGCGGCTCAGTTGAGGGTGGAAAAGTCGAGAGGGTGTCGCCCCACTCTTGAGCGCGCCTCTCCTCCTTTTTGGCCAAAACACAGCACCACCGAGGAGACTTTCTCCGGCGGCCAAACATTAGATTTTTGCTGTCGTTCGTGCGTGTGCGTCAAATTTTTCCTGCGTGTTCGTCGTCGTGTTTATGTGGTGTTTCATTTTGTCTCCCTTTCTTTATCCCTGGATTTCACTCGTGTCACTGTTCTGGGGCTGTGAAATTCACATGACACCAAGCGTGGCACTCCATGCGAAATTCGCGGGCGAAAGTGTGCGACTTTAAGTTCTATTTTGTAGAGCTTGTGTGCCGAAAAAGCGCGTCACAATCATTAAATCGAGTGCGCGAGTGAAGGACATTGGAAAGGGCTTTTCGTCTTGGCTGACGAGGGTGAGAGAATTCCGCGAGGATTAATTTTCCAGGCCACCCTCGGAAAGTCGGTGTGTTCCCAAAAGGATTTACAGTGAAAGTGTGGAAATTACCTAGCATATTTTTGGGTGGAAAATCAACACAGAACAGTCACGGAAGAGCGGAAAGCGAAAGTGAATCAATAGGATATTTTGTGTGAGTGTTGGCGGAAGATATTTGAGATAATTAATTTGTGGATTGCACTTTGGGATTATTCTTCGAAAAACAAACTGTCACTGTTGCTAAAGAGAGTATTTTGGAAGCATATTGAACTATTTTCAGGGCAATTTTGTCTGTCAAAAGTCTGTGAGACACGCAAAAAAGGCAGAAAATCACCACCCAGAAAAAAGGGTGTTGGTAAATAAATATCCATGGAGTGAAAGCAAAACAATCCCAAACCACTTGCCATTGAATTCCCGGCAAAACATCATCAGGCTCAACCGACATTATGTCATAAGAATCAACAATTTTTTGTTGTTGCTTCCCTCCAAATAATGCAACTCTATTTTCATCATTTCAATTCAATCCACGTCCGCGGTGCGAAAAATTCAATTGGATTTTGGGGCAAATATTTGTTTAACTGCTTCCCAATTTTGCAATGAAAATAAATAAAGTGAATAAATAAATTTTGCCACTCTGGCCAGAAACCATTCATTAATTTAGCCACCTATCAAGCAATCAATTGAAAATTATTTTCCATCCCGCGCCCTTTTTTTCCTCTATGGCCAATGCCAGAAACGTTCAATGGCATGTGCGAGTTGAATTTCATTTGCAGTATTTTCTGGGATCACTTTTTAATCCAATATCCACTATAAATTTCACCCATTGACCGTGTCTGCTGGGAGAGAGAATTTATCTTGAGCTGCACAAATGCTCAGGCACTTTGCGCACAGATGAAGAGGATGATTTGGTCGTGAAATAAATTTTTTGCTCAATTTCATGTAATCGCATGATTGGGATGTTCCACAAATACTGGATTTCAACGTTGTGCTTTTTGATATGGATATAAATTTTGACGACTTTGCTTCCCGTCGAATTGAGTTTCAGCAGTCATTCCGGAAGATCACACGTTTTGCTTGACATTCAATTGGGATTAAAATATGAAGTCACTCCCAAGGCACAGATCCAGGGAATTTATCCACCCCTCGGGGGCGTCGAAACCCGATGCCGGAGTGCTAGAGAGTGAGGTCGCAAATGCGAGGGTGGTTTTCTGTTTCTGGTGCGCCTTTTCTCGTGGATTTCTCTTGATTAAACATCACATTGCTCTTTGCAACTCTCACTTTTGCCCTCCCGTGTCCATGGGCCAGGGACGTAGTGGCGTGGAGCGCTGTGAGGCGAAAATTTAATTGCGACACACACAACATTTTCAGGATTATACGCAGGGATTTCCCTCCATCTGCAGGGACATTAAAACATTTTATTTCTTTATTAAAAGCCCCACCGTTGCGGTAGACATCATTTTCGCTTTCTCCCCCTTGTTTTCGCCGCTCTGGCGGCCCTCTTGGGTCTCCTCCGCCGCTCAACCACCCCCAGAAACCCCATGAAACTGCCGAAAAATGCTCCACTTTTCAGCAATCTAATAAACTTTCCCGATTATTTCACTTCGCTCTTGCTGTTCTCCTCACTTCTTCATTGTGCGCCTTTCTTCCATCATTTGATGGTATGGTGTCTCTTTAATGAGGACACCAAATGACGAGGGGAGAATGCTTTTATTGGAATGGCTTATGAATGGGTCCGAGAGATATTTACGCATTCACTCATCACTATTGACAATAAAAATCCCACGAAGCACATTGAGAGGAAGACAAAAAGCTCGCGCGATTACGATTTAAAGCAATTTGGAGTATTTTTTCAGGGAGTCTTAAACTTTTACGCCTTCTCGTTGATGACTCAGTGGATGTAAAATGTTTTTCCATTCCATGGCCATGAATGTGTTCACTATTTTTCCACACAATTTATGCAGTGTTACATGAT